ATGTGAGTGTTACTGACCTCAAACTCTCCAGTTTACATCGTGAATTCTTCAGTATATCATAAAACAGTTTTACTCTTGTGTGTTTTAGTTCATTGCCACTGAGGTCCAGCTCTCTCAGGTGTGATGGATTTGATTCCAGAGCTGAAGTCAGGAAGCCACACTGTTTATCTTTAATACTGCATTTACACAATCTGGGGTTGGTTGGCAACAGAAACGACAACGATTCAGATATATGATGATCATCTTATCTTAGAGGTACACTATTCTTATATTTGGTCTATTCTACAGTTCCTATAATCTGCTTGTAACAGTGTCACACTAGTTCTGTGTTCTGGACACTGTTGTAGCAGCGGATGTGACTCATAATATTTCTGCAGTACAACATATACACAATCAGTACATTGGAATTTGAAATGAATTAAATTATTTAAATTAAAAGCAATTACGTATTAGTTAGACACCAGTATAAACAATGTAACTGGAGCTCTGTTCTCTTAAATTAAATAACTAAACAGTGAACTTTTATTACATCTGCTGTACAGTAAAATGATACTAACTGTAGTTTTTCCAGTTTGCATTGTGGGTTCATCAGTAGATCGCTGAGGTTTTTAAATCCCGAGTCTCCTAGTTCATTCTCGCTCAGGTCCAGTTCTCTCACATGTGATGGGTTTGAATTCAGAGCTGAAGTCAGATCAGAACAACCTTCACCTGTCATTTTACAAGACCTTAACCTACATTGAGAAAGAGAGAGAGTGCCAATAATAAGACAGAAGAAAAGAAAGCAACACTTTATTTTGTAATGTCACATCACCTTAACGAACACAAACAACAAAAAGATAGCCAGATGAATATAAATCAACTTTATTCCAATCACAACATACTAAGGTGATAAAATACTTAAGCTCATTAAAGTGCTTTGATTTATGTTTGTGAATGTCACTGACCTCAGTCTCTCCAGTTTACAGCGTACATCTGTCAGTATTTCAGATAAGTGCTTCACTCCTTTGTTTTCTAGTTTATTCCCACTGAGGTCCAGCTCTCTCAGGTGTGATGGGTTTGATTTCAGAGCTGAAGCCAGATTAGAAAAATCTTCAACTTCTATACCACAGTTTCTTAACCTGCAATCAGAGGGAAAAAAAACTATTGCTTAATTTTCAATCAAATACTTACAAACTATTTCCTTTCTTGTATGTGAGTGTTACTGACCTCAAACTCTCCAGTTTACATCGTGAATTCTTCAGTATATCATAAAACAGTTTTACTCTTGTGTGTTTTAGTTCATTGCCACTGAGGTCCAGCTCTCTCAGGTGTGATGGATTTGATTCCAGAGCTGAAGTCAGGAAGCCACACTGCTTATCTTTAATACTGCATTTACACAATCTGGGGTTGGTTGGCAACAGAAACGACAACGATTCAGATATATGATGATCATCTTATCTTAGAGGTACACTATTCTTATATTTGGTCTATTCTACAGTTCCTATAATCTGCTTGTAACAGTGTCACACTAGTTCTGTGTTCTGGACACTGTTGCAGCAGCGGATGTGACTCATAATATTTCTGCAGTACAACATATACACAATCAGTACATTGAAATTTAAAATGAATTAAATTCTTTAAATTAAAAGCAATTACGTATTAGTTAGACACCAGTATAAACAATGTAACTGGAGCTCTGCTCTCTTAAATTAAATAACTAAACAGTGAACTTTTATTACACTGGATCTGCTGTACAGTAAAATGATACTAACTGTAGTTTTTCCAGTTTGCATTGTGGGTTCATCAGTAGATCACTGAGGTTTTCAAATCCCGAGTCTCCTAGTTCATTCTCGCTCAGGTCCAGCTCTCTCACATGTGATGGGTTTGAATTCAGAGCTGAAGTCACAGCAGAACAACCTTCACCTGTCATTTTACAAGACCTTAACCTACATTGAGAAAGAGAGAGAGTGCCAATAATAAGACAGAAGAAAAGAAAGCAACACTTTATTTTGTAATGTCACATCACCTTAACGAACACAAACAACAAAAAGATAGCCAGATGAATATAAATCAACTTTATTCCAATCACAACATACTAAGGTGATAAAATACTTAAGCTCATTAAAGTGCTTTGATTTATGTTTGTGAATGTCACTGACCTCAGTCTCTCCAGTTTACAGCGTACATCTGTCAGTATTTCAGATAAGTGCTTCACTCCTTTGTTTTCTAGTTTATTCCCACTGAGGTCCAGCTCTCTCAAGTGTGAAAGGTTTGAACACAAAGCTGAAGTCAGACTGAGACACTGTTTCTCTGTAATACTGCATCCACACAAGCTGAAGACAGAAAAGGAAAGGACAATGGTCAAATTAAGCTTGTGGAAGCTTTTTGGGTCATTTGTCTGTCAAACTATGGTTCTTTTTCTAGCTAACTACTAGGGCTGGGTATTGAGACAAATTTCACAATTTGATTCGATTTCGATTCACAAGCTTGCAATTCGATTCGATTACGATTCGATTTAATATCGATTATTTTGGATATCATATCAGTTACAATAAATGGCAATTTTTCTCAAGGGAATCAAATCTCTTAAATGCTGTAAACTATGGGAGTCTAGTTGTATCCTACTAGGCTTCATTAGCCTAATATGAAGGTAATAATGAACTGTTTTGTAGCTATACAAACACTTAAATTACACTTTTATTTATTTTTATAATAAGAATATTATATTAAATATAAACATTTAAATGGTGGCTGTCATAAAAACTTGCCAGATTTATTCAATCATACATGAAATATTGAAGAACACTAACGAGTGTGGACTAACGAGTTTATGTGGGTTTTCTGAGGTAAATATGACGATACATGACATTGATTACAAGCTGTTTAACTGACGTCTTTCCACGGTTGAAACGCAGATTGAGCGAATCACTGTGACATGATATGGATTTCGATAAGCTGTACTCTATCTTTAACACACTTTCAGATGCTCATTCATGTTTATTTGGCGCTGTAACTGGTATTATTAAACCGAAAGAGAGATCAGCGCTGCTGCTTCTCTTGAGCTGCGCAAGAGCGATCTCACGCCACAGTGCCAAAATGTTATTTATATTTTTGAACTTCTAAAGAAAATGGACGTAATTTGAAAATTGAGACTTTGTTTCATATCAATAGTAACAAAGGACAAAGATTATTGCGATTTTTTTGGATGCGCGCAGCCGCGATACAATGTCTCATTCATTCAAATGAAACAGGATGACTAATCGATTCTTGAGATTTAAGAATCGATATCGGTTTGTAAAAATGAGAATCGATTAATATCGAGAAATCGATATTTATTACCTAGCCCTACTAACTACTATAATATTGTCATTAAATGTCTTTCCTAAAGGTTATTGTAACGTTACGTGATTTTGTTCTCCAGTTTTGTTACTGACCTCTATCCATGGTTAAAACACTGATTGATTGATTAAATGCGACATGATACATTTCAGCAAGTTGTACTGTCTCTTTCGACATACTTTCTAATGTTCATTTAAGTTTATTTACCAAATAGTAGGAAGAGTGATCAGTTCAAGCGCCACAACTAATGCCGAGTTCAGACTGCATGATTTTAGCCATGATTTTAGCTCGCCGACAGGTTTTGAGAAATCGCCGACAAATGCCCGAAATCACAGGCAAATCGGCGCTCGTTCACGCGAGTGACAATCACGCAGTGTGAATGAGCAAAGACGCGAACTGAGAGAATCACCGACGAGTCGCCGACGCCCGTGAGATATTTGGCATGCTAAATATCTGGACCTGTCGGCGATTCAAAATCCTGCTGTGTGAAAAGTGTTTTGACTGAAAACTACATCGGCGATCACCGGCAGCCAGTGAGAGAGCAAGATACAGAGCAGCAGGGAGTTCGGGGAGGAGTTATAGATCACATATCAACATGATATGGCATTGTTTAAAAAAAAAAAGCTTCTTCTCGGTCTATTTGGACACAATAAATGGAAGAAAAATTAGTAGAAATTTGGCAGGAGCACTCGTGTCTGGTTCACCAGCTGTACCACAACCGGGTCGAAAAAAAAGTCTCACGTGAGAACTCCGGTCTTGCACGTGTGGTGTCGCGCGTTGTTTCCTTTTCATATCTCACGCGTGTTTGTTGTGAAATGTAGTTTGCGTGCAGCGTGCTAGACAGAGTCTGTCGGCGATTTTTCTAAAGTCATGCAGTGTGAAACCTTCTGTCACCGATCAATCGTCCAGTGTGAACACAGCAGTGACTGAATGCTGGCCAAGATAGTCATGCAGTGTGAAAAGAACAGCGACCCGACTACTTTGAAAATCATGCAGTCTGAACTCGGCATAAGGCGCTACAGCGATCTGTCATGTTTCATTTCTCGTTTAAATTTTGTAATACAATGGACTTTATGCACAGCTGCACTACTTTCTGAACTTAAGCCAGCTCCTTGTTTCCTGTCTGCCATTATTGGTCAAATTGATTAATCCAGGTGTGCCTGACCTCAGTAGTCACGGCAACAATAATCAGACACACCTGAATTAATCAAGTTCGGCCAATAATGGCAGACAGGAAATAAGGAGCTGGCTTAAGTTCAGGAAGTAGTGCAGCTGTGCATACGGTCAATTGACAGTTAGAAAGCTAAAACTTTGTTTCAAATTAAAGTAACCTGCCCTGTCTTGTCTGTCGGTATAAATGTCCTGTTTTGCTTCTGAATTTTTCACTGAGTGAGAAAATGGATGTGTAGCGTAAGAGCATGAGAACAGTGTTGGAATGCATGCGAATTGACAGCCCTACATATATGTGTAATTAAATTTTAATTATACAGAATTAATCAGTTAACGTTATTTTTATCTAATTGTATATGTTTTTAATTGTTAGCTTAATTTTAATATTTAACTTTATAGTAGTTGCTGAGAGAAAAATATTTCAAAATACTACTGAAATAGGATTATCCACTACTGTAAAAATAATATTAAAAATAATGTAACATTTTAAAACATTAAATTAAGATACTCACATCAGTGTGTTGAGTTTACAGTGTTTATCCTGTAGTAGAGCAGCGATCTGATTCACTCGTGTGTCTCCAAGTTTACGGTCACTCAGATTCAGCTCTCTCACGAGTAACGGGTTTTTACCCACAATTCCTATCACATACTGACAGGCTTCATCTGCAACAGGACTTCTCAAAAACCTGCAGAAAAGAAGATGACATTTAAAGGGTCTTTCTGGCTTTTAAGCAAGAGTGTGAGAAACATCAGCACATACAACTGGTTTGTGAAAGTGCATGTTTATGAACATCTGGAGACTGATTGACCTGCTTTAGAGAAACAGTGATACCGTGGATCTGGACTTGGTGGAAATTAAACTACAGTACTTTCAGAAACATTTAATACCATATTACATAATACCATCAGTACCATTGTATCAAAACAAAACTCTGTTGAAATATATCATTGATACCAAACTTCTCCCAGCTGCAAAAATGTGTGCAGCTTATTGAATTACTCAAAACATATTATATAAAGACTTTTAGCCTGAAAACAAAAAAGAAAAAAAAACAACAACAAATATTTACTTTTTCCATCACATCTCACCTCAGTGTCTTCAGTTGACAGTCTGGATCCTGTAGTAAATCATAGAGCTGCTTCACTCCTGATTCTCCAGGATCATTTCCTGTGAGATCCAGCTCTATCAGGTGTGAAGGGTTTGATCTCAGAGCTGAAGCCAGAGCTTTATAACCTTCTTCAGTTATTCTGCAGTCTGAAAGTCTACAGAAAAGACAATTTACGAAATGTATAAAAATATAATTAAACCAAATTTCTTTTCTGTTTAAACACAAATCGTACATGATACATTTCATATATATATACATTCAAGTTAAGTGCAGTCAAACAATGGTTCATTCAACTCACCTGAGTTTCTCCAGTCGACAGTTTATATTCTCTAATGCGTTCTGGAGTTTCTTGACTCCTAAATCCTGCAGTTTATTGTTGCTCATGTCAAGCTCTTTCAGACTGGAGTTTGATCTCAGGACTGTAGCGAGAGTTGAACAGCTTTCCTCTGTTAGACCACAATTACGCAGCCTAAAATGATGAATATGAGTCGGAGAATTTACATCCTCATTTCCATAAAAATTGGTACATTTTGTAACATGCAGCAAAATCAAGAATATGGTTTGATAATTCTCTTTTACCAAAAAAAGGACACCCCCCCCCCCAGTTTTTTACTGACCAACTTAATTATATTTTGTAAAAATAAACACATTCTGATGGCTGCAAAACACTTTGTTGATGGCTGCAAAAAAATAAAATAAAGTTGTGACAGAGTTATGTTTACCACTGTCTCACATCACCTTTCCTTTTAATTACACTTTTCAATTGTTTTTTTTTGTTTGTTTTTTTTTTTAAATTGTTTCAGTTTTGCTAATGGAATTTTTTGCAAAATCTCGTCTGATACAAGACCTTTAGCTGCTCAACAGTCTGTGGTCATCACTGTCTGATTCTCCTTTTTTCATGATAGGCCAAATATTTTCAATAAGAGACAGATCTATACTGCAGGTGGAGAGTGTCTACGAGAGTCTTTTATCCGAGGAAAGATGTCATATTTATGGCACTATATGTCTCCGTAATCCCAACAGACGCCTCCGCATCACACAAATGCAAGTCACCCCTGCCGTTTGCACTTTTGCACCTCCATACCATGACAGATGTTTGCTCTTGCAGTCACTGATGAAAGTCTGGATGGTTCCTTTCAACTTTTGGACTGAGAACTCAATGTCCGTTTTTTCCAAAAACAAGCTGAAGCATGGATTCATCTGACCACAGCACACATTTCTACCGTCTTTTAGACCATCTGAGACGAGTTCGGGCCCAGAGAACTTGGCAGCATCTCTGCATAGTACTGATGTATAACTTTCTCCTTGAGTAACAAAGATTCAGGTGGCATGGCATTTCTTGATGCAGAAGCAGACTGTGTTAAGTGACAATGGTTTTCCAAGGTAAAAGATTGTGAAATTTAGTAAACATTTAAAGGACTATAAACTGTAATAACTTGTTTTCATGACATATTCATTCCATGAGCCATTTTCGCTTGCAAATACTAGCCTGGTCCCACCAGACTGTCGTACATTTCATTTGTACAGAGAGTCTAGCCTCGCTCCATTGACAAGCGTTGACTTCCTTGTAGGCGGGTCCTCTGTTGAAGTTTAAAACTATTGGATCTGTCCAGAGTCACTCTGAATCTGCCACAACCAATGACGTATGACGACTCAAACTAGCGTACGATATCAATGTCCTCGTTCTCAGCCACTCCCTCTGTTCGCTGATTGGATCAGTAAAAAATGACCAGAGAAAACCAAAGAATACACCACAAACCCAGACATAGTACTGAAGGAAAATGAAAATTGAGCGGAAGAACGTAGGAGGGCAGAGCCAGGCTATGCAAATACTGCAATCTTTTGGAAAATCTTTTCTCTGTACTTTTGTCAGTTAAATAAAGGTTCAAGAGAATTAACAAATAACAGATTTTTGGGTTTTATTGTCCCAACTTTTCTGGAAATGGAGTTGTACACTTACAAAGTACTTGATGACAACATACTGTATAGTAATTACTGAAAATTACTGTGTTTGGTCAACGGAGTTTTTTGAGAATTTAAATGTGTAATTATAAATGAACACAATACTCACAGTAGTGTGTTGAGTTTACAGTGTTTATCCTGTAGTAGAGCAGCGATCTGATTCAATTGTGTGTCTCCAAGTTCACGTTTACTCAGATCCAGCTCACTCAGGAGTAATGGATTTCTACCCACAATTCCTTTCACATACTGACAGGCTTCATTTGCAGCAGGACATTTTAATAATCTAGAAACAAAGAAAGTACATTGATTATTCACAACTGTACTCTGCAGAGCTGTCTTCTACAATAACAAAGATCAGCACAAAGATTTTCACACCAAATGCAACATAAATAAATATGAATGTAAAGATATGGTAAAACAATATAATTCTCTTTCAGAAACAATCTTAAAACTATTGCACTTTTAATATTTGTAGAAAACATTTACCTCAGTGTCTTCAGTTGACAGTTTGGATCCTGCAGTAAATCATCGAGCTGCTTCACTCCTGATTCTCCTGGATCATTTCCTGTGAGATCCAGCTCTATCAGGTGTGAAGGGTTTGATCTCAGAGCTGAAGCCAGAGCTTTATAACCTTCTTCAGTGATACTGCAGTCTGAAAGTCTAGAACACATGAAAATCTGAATTAAAATGAACACTGCTACATTTTAAATTAATTAATGTCAGCCAAATAGTCGACTAAACTAAATCACACTACAGCTGAATACATCATCAGATATGCAGTTATCCACAAGTTTCCTACGCCCCATGAGGCCTTGCGTCAAAAGTGGGCGCGATTCCGGTTTGAAGTAAACAATGCACTACTTGACATGCTTGACACTCGTTCATTCAACAGTTGACAGTCATTCAAGTTATAGCGAACCAAACTAGCTAACGATGTGGGAACACAACCTCAACGAAATTCAAAAGGGTGAAATAACAGCACCTTTACCTCCGCAGTAGTTGATTGGGAGTATTATAATAACATTATTAATAATCAATACTGATCAAGGCATGGTGACAGACAGTTGTGCGAGCTGACAAACAATTAAAATAAAATATACACACTTAGTCATTGTGCTTTGGAGTTTATTCAAAATTATAAATGAATGTGGTACTTGAATACATTAACTGGCACATTTGGTATTCGGTCAACACAGGCTTTGATCCTGAGTTTAGGTGTAACATCAGTAGTGAACAGCCAAACACATGCTGATAGAGTTTATAGAATATTAAGATTTTAAACAAATGTACACAGGATGATTCGTTGTCTTTTGGGAGGTTGATGGAAACTTCAGTCGTTGGTAGGATCACTCTGATTTCGTTTTCAGCTTATGTTCAAAACAATCCCGTTTAAGCCACTGAATTAGTTTAGTCCGGTTATACATACAACCGCAAACAGCACATGTTGTCCCTGAGCTCCGTAACGACATCTCTCACAAAGATTTGCGTCTTTAAATAGTAAAATAATTCTCCGAAAAACAGCTAGCCTCTTCGCTAACTAACACACAAAATACCATTGGAATGCTACTTCCGCCGCGTCACCGGAAGTTTCACCCACTTTATTTTTTACATGAGCGCCCCTCGGAAACTTGTGGATACTCCCACAGTAGTTTTATTTAGTCACTAATGTGCAAGTTGATTAGTTATATTTAATAACTGCACAACTATGGTTTTGCATGACAAATAATTTTTTTCTCCATTAAATTACCTTTAATTATCTATAGCATGCATTATTTCTTTGTCCTACTCTTTATTTTAGAGACAAAAAAAAAAAAACAGGGACAACCTACCAATGTTGTCAAAGATATTTTAACTGAAATGATTCCAATATTTTTTTCTGCTGTATCGATACACAGATACCAGCTGCCAGTTCTCTTCTCTCCAATGGTGACTTGACATAGTTCTCTCACTCATTATTGTATTGTGTATAATTTTACTCGTTCCCGCAGGTCTCTCGCTCACACTAAATGCCTGTGCACCACTGATCCATAAAAGTGACGCACATAAAGCCGCCTCTCAAATAGCTTACAGGTACCAAATTGAGTTATTTTTTGTGACTTAATGCACTTTATTTAGTCTTTATTTCAAACTCTAAACGAAATCATGCAAATGGCACCCTGTCCCAAAAGGTGTAAACTCAAGAGACCATGACTAATGCAAATTGCCATTGCTTTCAGACACTCAGCATTATGTACTGAATTTTCTGATGTCAGAAACATCTTTTAGTCCTTATCTCTGATCATTTTATGTTATTGTATTGATTATCTTTGAATTGATTATGTGATTGGCATGATACATTTACCTGACTAATAAATTGTTACATTTGGATTTATTCTGACTTACTCTGAAATGATTAACTATAATACGTCATATCCTTTGTGTTACCGCAAATCTGCATCAGATTAGTAACAGACTAACGTCCAGTTGAGAGTGGAGAATAGGGCACACCAAATGCAATTTTAGAGTTCCGGCTAATATTTGGCACGAAAGGCACTTTTCCACTGCATAGTATGGTACGGTTCGGTACGTCTCACTTGTGGTGCTTTTCCACTGCATGGTACGGTACAGTACGGTTCGCTTTAGGTCGCTTTAAATGGTACCTGGTCTGTTGAGGTTCCAAGCGTACCGTACCGGTACTAAAATGTGACGTGAAACACTGCAGATCACTGATTGGTCAGACAGAATCGTCACTACCAGCGTCACTACTAGCGTCATTGGATTTGCGACACGAGACACGAGACACTTTTTAGCAGTATTTTTGTTTTGCTGCCATCAGCCTCATTTTAAACACATTTTTCCGTCTAGCAGTTAAAAACAACCACATACCGAGAATCAGGAACACCATCCCCTCGATAGTCTCCATTGTTTCTGTGTTGTGGGTTTGAAAATGTGGCGCTTTTAAGATGATGTCATGGCAGTAGAGGCGCGCGCAAATAACGATCAGTCCCACACACTTTGAAGGGGTACTACTGCAGTGGAAACGAAAAGCGATCCGAACTGTTCCGCGCCGAGTCGAAGCGTACTGAGCCGAACCGTACCGTACTATGCAGTGGAAAAGCGCCATAATTCAAGTGTACTAGGTTGTAAAGACAAAAAATTGATTTCCGTTTAGGACAGCAAAAGATTGCTCGATCAACCTAAATAAGGTGAGACTTACCTCTGTTTAATGTAATGTTACTCTACCTACTGTTAGTGTACGTCGGAAACCATGCATGACCAAACCAAAGCTATCCGATAAGTAATATGGGTCGGCTTATATCTGTAGAAGTGGCCATGACCTCTGACTAGAGAAAGTGCACTTTTACAAATCCATGTGGGCTATTCAAAATATCTTAGATAAAGTGTGAATGCGACAGTGTAAGATATTAGCCAATTACCTCTGTTTAGTGACCAAAAACTGATGAGTTTGTGATCATGGGCCCACATAAAAATGAATGGCCGGTACGAGGACCCTGAGGGACTTTGGCACCCGCATGAATGAGTATGATATAATAATCAAATTTGTTGCTAAACTATAATATTAATGACCAATAACCAGTTGGCATTCCAACCTAAATTCGAGGGTGTGATAAAATGGAGTCAGATAAAAGGTTAATTGGAATTAAATTACTTTGCCATTGTAAAAAGACAAACACACAGTAAACCTTTGCCCGCTTATCGGAAACTGTTGTTGGACCGATTGGGCAGGCCTTACAATACATGTTATCAAATATCAATACTTTTCAAGGTATTGTATCGACCTACACAAAAACTAGATGCAGTTCTCAATTTGAAAATGCTTAAATCTCTCTTTCTAATTACTGCACAACTATAATTAAATTATTAGTTCTAAAAATGGCAAACTGGATTAAGAAAAAGAGGCTTGGGTTGTGTAGAAGGATGCCTAAGAATGTGGGAAGCTGTGACTGTTGCAAATGTTGGTTTGAGTTTGTTCTAAATATCATGCTTAATCTAGGACAAATGTAATTGTGAACCAGTGTTATTGCAGTTATAGTTTTTAACCACTGTCTATAATTTTTTTTTAATCGTACATTTTCATCTCACCACTTTTTGAAGTGAGCGGACTGAAATATAAATAATTGATATGTGATTGCTGTGGTGTTGAATGTAGCTGATGATGAAATGTACTTACTTCAGTATCTTCAGCTCACACACAGGATTCTTCAGTCCCTCACAGATCTCTTTGACTCCTGAGTCCAGCAGACGGCTGTTGTTCAGGTTCATCTCTTTCAGGATGGTTTTGGGGGAGAGAACAGTAGCTAGAACAGAACAGCTTTTCTCTGTCAGCTCACAGTTATTCAGCCTAAACACAAAATCAGCATTATTTATTATTCAACACACATCAGATCAACAGGTCTTCATATCTTCTCACAATTGTGACTGACAGGTTTTTATAATGAATAATCAGAGAATAATGTATAAATCATGTTCACTCACTTGATTTTCTCCACTTTGCTATGAGAGTCCATTAAAAGAGCAGAGAGCTTCTCCCAACTTAGGTCTCTGAGTTTATCTTCACTCAGATCCAGTTCTGTCAGAAGTAATGGACTTGTACCCAGAACTTCAGTAAGATACTGACATGCTTCCTCTGCTGCAGGACTTTTCAAAAACCTACAGGAAGCAGAATTTTACAATTTATGGGAGCCCCTCAAAAACGAGACGGTACATATCAAGTCAAGTCACCTTCATTTATATAACACTTTCAACAATGTAAATTGTTTCAAAGCAGCTTTACAGTGATAATAGAAAATTAAAGTAACAAATATTGTTTTGTCTTTACAGCAGTTCAAGAATAAAGTTATTGTCCAGGTATAGTTAGTTTTGATTGGTTTATTCACTAACAGTGCCGCTGCTAGCCATTTTGGTGCCCTAAGCATAATTCCTTTATGGTCTCATATTGCCCTCTGGAGATTATTTCAGAATCTATGAACCTTGTTGCATTGTATTTGGACATTTTATCAGAATACACAGCTTTAGGCAATGATATGCCATTATCATGTAATATGACTAATATAGAAAGTAGAAAGATATATTTTGTTGTTTTCACTTAGTACTAAACAGAATTCATAAACAGCAACCATTTATTTACAATAGATTAAACAAATTAAAATAAGCCAAAAAGTAATACTCCCACAGAGATGCGATACAAAAATTTGGTCTAAACACATGAAACTTCCTGACAAATATGCCAAATCTTTATCAGATTTTCTCTGGTAAACACAAATATACCACAACTACTTATTTGAGAAAATATTAGTGGAAATTATCTTATTTAAATCTTTCCTATTGATGGAACAATAATATATCAGCCACTGATATAGTGTTCACCTCTCAGCTTATGTAGTATCTAGTTAAATTTACAGTTACAATATTTACTTTGTTTCATTGAGAAAATATGCACTGTACAATTAAAATGAATAAGTATAATTTCTCAAAACTTTGTATTCATTTGTTTTGTCATGGTCTCATAAAACTTGTGTCAGACTCAAATTAAATTGAATTTCTCATGAGTTTAATTTCTTTGAATTGAAAACACATCAGTGGTTTACTTAAAAATATTTGAAAGCATTTATCACCTGATGGGCTTTAATTTACAGTGTCCATCCTGCAGTAAGTCATTAAGCTGCTTCACTCCTGATTCTCCAGGATCGTTTCCTGTGAGATCCAGCTCTATCAGGTGTGAAGGGTTTGATCTCAGAGCTGAAGCCAGAGCTTTATAACCTTCTTCAGTGATACTGCAGTCTGAAAGTCTACATATGAAAGAAGCATTATGCATTTTACAAGTTAAAATAAACAAAATAGACATGTATAAAGTGAGATGTTATGATCTTATTTAATAGGAAAAATAAATGTAATCCTCATTATAAAATAAAAACATTGCCATGGAACATTGCTTATTTTAATATTGGCAAAAATCTCAACCCATAAATACGCAACAAATGCAAATAACATCTGAAAATCGGAATTTAAATTTGTTTATAGAATATTTAAAAATGGCAATGTAAATAGTCAAACAAAAACGGTAATTTCAGCCTCTATCGCCATCATCAAAGGTTATGACAGGTCATTTAATCAAATGGACATTTACATATGTATATTATCATTATGCAGATATGTAAATGAATGAAGATACACACTTCAGTTTTTCCAATCTGCATTGTGTATTTTTCAACAGATGACAGATCTTCCCCACTCCTGAGTTTCCAAGTTTATTTCTACTAATATCCAATTTTATCAGGTTTAAAGGGTTTGAATTAAATGCTGAAGTCAGAGCAGCAAAACCTTCTTCTGTAATACTGTTATTATTCAGCCTGCAGAGAAACAAATCAAAGACAGGAAACATTCTTCAGTTTATCGTTTAACCTTCTTTAATGAACATAAAATATAAAAAAGACTTATTTGCTTCTGTTTGTATTATTGTCATTAGTAAATTTCTCTGTATAAAACCATTTATGGACAAATCATCACACGTAGATGAATACATTAACTGAACATGTTAATCCTAACCAGTTATATGAAAATACAATAATAGAAAAATGTTACATTTAAAATATATTTTAAAGGAGCTGTATGTAAGATTGTGGCCAGAACTGGCACTGCAATCACTTTCAAATTACTGTAGAGTGGGGTATGCCCTTCCCTCTGACTCGTGGTTGCCAGATAGGCCGCAGGATCCAACTTTTTTTTATATCCGACACATTTGTAGGTGCAGCTGTGGTAACTAGAGCAGAGCTGGCAACCCGGATGCTGCAACACTACTGACCTCATGATTGGTAGATAGGTGGAGGGTAGAGCATCAGACCAATACACAACATGACAACATCAACATCAGTTGAGGGTTGCAACTTCACTTTTTAAATTACATTATCCTGGCTGGACTACTGTTGTCAGTAATATAAGTATTTGAAATGAACATGATTTCTTAATGTCTAGTAGTGACATATCAGGGCTAGTTTATGAATATTTGAAATACATTTCTTACATACAGCTCCTTTAATGCAAAGTATAAATATAAAAACCATGCAAAATACTCACTGAATTATATTCAGTTTACAGTGTTTATCCTGCAGTAGAGCAGCAATCTGATTCATTTGTGTGTCTTCCAGTTCATGATCACTCAGATTCAGCTCTCTCTGGAGTAACAGGTTTTTACCCAAAATTCTAGTCACATACTGACAGGCTTCATCTGCAGCAGGACTCAAAAACCTGCAGATGGGAAGTTGAAGCAGGATTAATCATCAGGGGTCTAAGATGTTTTTGGGATCCTTGAAATGTTTTGACATGCTCTGACTTTCTCAGTTTCTTATAAACATACTAATTGTAAATGTGTCCTTACACTCTATTTAGCACAAGCACAATTAAGCACAGGACTACCATAATATGTGAGCAGCATGTATGTACATGTTTGTATTTTTGAGAGAATAAGGTGTTATGCATGGGTACTGAAAAAAATAGTAAGTTTCTTAAAATTTAAGAATTTGTGTGGCCACAAAACAGATACTAAATGTGTCCGCAAGACTTTTGACTAATGGATGTCACCAAGATTTTTTTTTTTTTGCATTTGCAGACGCACGAGGGATAAATTCAGTTTGGTTATCAAAGCCTGTGTAAAGAAGAATTACATTTGATCCAAATAAATAAATAACAAAAACGTGTGAAATGGTTTATCTTGAATATACTTTGCTGTAATGCATTTTTTATAATGTATCCCAACTCACCTCAATGTCTTCAGTTTATAGTTTGGATCCTGCAATAAATCATAGAGCTCCTTCACTCCTGATTCTCCAGGATCATTTCCTGTGAGATCCAGCTCTATCATGTGTGAAGGGTTTGGGTTTCTCAGAGCTGAAGCCAGAGCTTTGTAACCTTCTTCTGTGATACTGCAGTCTGAAAGTCTACAGAAGAGATATTTCAAAGTATTGATGAATGAATATGTAGAAAATGGCATAGAGACCGTTAATATGTTATCAACGTATTTATCAATTCACCTAAGGTTCTCTACTTTAAAGTTTTCTTTCAGTCCACCTGCTCTCTCATTGCGGTCAAACAATGGTTCATTCGACTCACCTGAGTTTCTCCAGTCTACAGTTTATATTCTCTAATGCGTTCTGGAGTTTCTTGACTCCTGAATCCTGCAGATTATTGTTGCTCATGTCAAGCTCTTTCAGACTGGAGTTTGATCTCAGGACTGTAGCGAGAGTTGAACAGCTTTCCTCTGTTAGATCACACTTACTGAGCCTGAAATAATAATAATGATAATAATAATGATAATAACAACAAAGCATCAATGAAGAAGCATGATGATACTTTTCACTATTTTGCTGTGATTGCTGTGGTGTTGAGTGTAGCTGAAATGTACTTACTTCAGTATCTTCAGCTCACACACAGGATTCTTCAGTCCCTCACAGATCTTTTTGACTCCTGAGTCCAGCAGACGGCTGTTGTTCAGGTTAATCTCTTTCAGGATGGTTTTGGAGGAGAGAACAGTAGCTAGAACCGAACAGCTTTTCTCTGTCAGCTCACAGTTATTCAGCCTAAACACAAAATCAGCATTATTTATTATTCAACACACATCAGATCAACAGGTCTTCATATATTCAGTGACAGTCTTTTATAATTAATAATCAAAGAATAATGTATAAATCATGTTTACTCACTTAATTTTCTCCAGTTTGCTATGAGAGTCCATTAAAAGAGCAGAGAGCTTCTTCTCATCCAGATCTCCTAGTTTATCTTCACTTAGATCCAGTTCTGTCAGAAGTAATGGACTTGTACCCAGAACTTCAGTAAGATACTGACATGCTTCACGTGCAGCAGGACTTTTCAAAAATCTAAACAAAGTAGATTATCATTTTATCTCAAATAATCTTAAAATGTAAGGCCTTTTGCAACACTCTTTCTTTTTAATTGGCCCAGTTAATTTGCATAGTCTGTGGTTAGTGTCTTAGTGCAAAGATCTTATTTTGCTTCTTTTGGAGGATTAATTCGATTCTTTTGGAGAATTTACGAGAATAACACGTCCAAGTGATCTGAAGGCATGGGCGCTTCTGTCTGCACTTGCGCTGGAAGTGATCGCTCTCGCGTGTACGTCACTTATTGTTTGCACAGAGATTTCGGAAGTTTTACCTTTCACTGTGAAGATCTAAATATCGAAATTGTCTTCCATTGCGATTTCCTCTATATCTAAATATGTTTAGATCAACTCAAGTAACCACATGTTGGGTAAATTTCTTTGTTCTAGAAACATTTGATGGTTTGCATGGATTTTCTTTAAATTGATTATGGAATTGTAATAATACATTTACTTGACATAATAAATTGTTATATTTGATTGTTCTAACAGACTTTGACTTTATTTTCATTACAGTTAAATTAGTCAAACATAAACATGTATTTAATGATGCACAGATATTATTGTTAAACCTTTTTTCATTTATGGTGTCAGATGAAATGACTTAATACATAAGATAAAATGTATTGCATTTAATCAAAAATCACTTTGCCATGGGAAAGACAGAACAAGCTTGAAACCTTCGCCTCTAATCGAACGTCGCCTTTGGATCGATTTAGTAGGTCTTACAAGGCATTAGTTGTGATTGCGTTCAATTTTTTGTGAAGTAGCAATACACTGCTTCACTTTCTGGGAATGGGAAATGTGATAAAAGTCTATTAAAACTGGCTGACTGGGTTCTTTGAGACGGTCAGTTTATTTTTCAAAAACATTGGTGCATCATATTCTAGTTATTTTTTAATAATTTCATAGACATGTTTTATTGTTATATCTTTATTTTTTAACATATATTTTCAAAACAGTCTTAAAATATTTTCATTATGACACACTTTATAAATTTAAAACACTCACCTCAGTGTTAGTTTACAGTCAGGTTTTTGTGCTACATCAAGGAGCTGCTTCACTCCTGATTCTCCAGGATCATTTCCTGTGAGATCCAGCTCTATCAGGTGTGAAGGGTTTGATCTCAGAGCTGAAGCCAGAGCTTTATAACCTTCTTCAGTGATACTGCAGTCTGAAAGTCTGTAAAACAAAAATCAAGCGTAGCATCAGTTCTGGCAGGTAACATTTATCAACTGGTATCAGCTGACTCCCAGCTGATCCACGTCTACCTATAGCAATACAACATCTGTACTTATATAAGCTCTTTCAGTATTATGGGCAGCTATCGGGTTTCTCAGGAGCAAAGCGCCCTCCTCCACCCCCAGCTCCCCAGTCAGGATTTGGCATTCTGATCCTCATCTGGATCAGACTAAATTCTTGAATTATGTTTTACATTATATTTATATTTAAATATTTATATTTAAAGCTGCAGTCCATAGCTTTTCCTCTTTGTCGCCATCTCTGTTCGAAATTGTAAATTGGCATGAAACAGCGCGGAAGAACACAGTGTTTTGAGGCGAGTGCTGCTGTCAATCACCGCGCTGTGTGGATACTGTCATACAGAATCAAAGATTTACTTTTTGAAAGTTTGACCAACATAAGAATATTCACCGGAAAATGTCTTCTGAACAAGTAACATCCATTTCATTCTGATCAACTAAGGGGGAAAAAGCATTCGACATGATAAGCTTCGCTAGATTTAATCAACGTGATTTACAGCAACCGTGCAAATTATAGCCTACTTTGTTCTCAAATTGTTCATGTTAAAAACATCAGCATTGCGTGACTAATGTTAAATTTAATGTGTTTTATGGTTACCTGTGTAGTTCAGAATTCATATTCTCCATAATAGCAAAATGAGAAAACACAACAAAGGAAACTCAATAACTGTGTGAATTAAGAAAACGTACTGTTACACGATTGAACTATTGAAATGTCTTACATGTTCAGCAGAAAAAAGCAGTCTCTTCTTCCGTTTTGAACCCCTTCAAAACACGGAGTTCACACACTTTTCAAAAGCCCCGCCAATGTTTAAATCCTTGTGTTCCATGAGACGGTTTATTTCTCTTTCTCTAGACACCTTAAATCCGAAGTACGAAGTCTTTTGGGTTTAATAACTGCTGAATCTCCAGTTGACACTGATGATTGTTGTTTGGATCTTTCTGGATGCCATAAGTTTAATTATGTGAAGTGCTGCAAGAAAAGCCTATACATCTCTACATCTCCTCACGCGCAGTATAGCCGGCTAGCCGAAACTCCTTCTTTGTGTTTACGGGTGTGACGTCATAGATATCTATATAAAGGCTAGATGTGTCACGGCGGAGTATTTATCGTCATCACCGGCGGCCACCTTGTCACAGACAGGCTTTCTGGCAGGCTCTGTGGTATGTGATATAAGAAATACACTCTTATCTCGTTGAAATCTTGACGGATTTACAAACGGTTTGGTTTCTTACAAACGTTATTAACATGGCTATAATTCTGGAATATTATTTATTTATACACTTATTATTCATAAGTATGCAGTATCATAACTACATCTCTTCCATTTATAACAAACCAGGCTATTTGAAAATCGGTAGAAAATTTAGCAAGTTACGGTGATTTAAAAAGTACATGCACCATCAAAACAATGTTACCAGTGAGCGAGCTGTCTGTGACAAGATGGCCGCCAGGTGCTGACGTCGACCTCCATTGGCCAGCAGCGCGGACGACACATCTAGCCTTTATATACATATCTATGTGTGACGTAATGACGCAAAGACATGCTCGAATTTCCCGCGGAAACCCACCAGTACCACTGGAATTAAAATCATTATTACAAGCTATCCGTTTTGAATCTAGCTATGGCAAGCAGATGGTTTTGACCACTGGCAGAATATGTTTTGTTTTTTAAATAATTGTTTTGGATTATTTTTAACTTAAAAAAGTTACAGACAGCAGCTTTAATTAATGATATCTGCAAAACAATCATTTTGATTCTGTTCGGTGGGTTTACCCTAACAGGGGTTATTGCCCAGAACAGAACCATACCACCAATCCAAACTGTATGCTAATTGTCATTCGTATCCTGACAGAAATAGGTCATTAATTCTTTGTTGGACAGAGATTAGTTGCATGCTTATAAATGCATTCTAAAAACTACTTGGAACAACTAAAACACATTTATACAATTAAATTAGTTACATAATATTGTGATATTTAAAATCAATGACATGAAAAGTCAAAATGTTTTCATTTTAAACCAGCTTATTCAGTTATTCTGATAAAAGGAGCATTTACAAATGCATATTAACTTTCAAAATTGTTGATAAATAAAAATACATACTTGAGTTTCTCCAAACTGCATTGTGCATTTTTCAGCAGAGGACAGATCTTCATTATTCCTGAGTCTCCTAGTTTATTTCCACTCAGATCCAACTTTATCAGGTTTGAAGGGTTTGAATTAAAGGCTGAAGTCAGAGCAGCACAACCTTCTGCTGTAATACTGTTATTAATCAATCTGAAGAGAAAGAAAACAAAGACATTTTTCTTTGTCGTGTTTTAGCCACAAACACTACGATAATAACAGAGAGAGATACATCTAAGATGGTTAATTTAATAGCCCCCAAAACAGCAATAACAGTATTTGATTAGACTCTGAAATGGATTAGATACGGGAGAGAATCTAACAATTTAAAATACTCACAGTAGTGTGTTGAGTTTACAGTGTTTATCCTGCAGTAGAGCAGCGACCTGACTCACTCCTGTGTCTCCAAGTCTACGTTTACTCAGATTCAGCTTTCTCAGGAGTAACGGGTTTCTACTTACAATTCTAGTCACATACTGACAGGCTTCATCTGCAGCAGGACCCAAAAACCTGCAGAAGGGAAGATGAATTAACATTGTATAATGAAAAACAGCGTAAATGTGTAAAATGTTTTTCCTTTTATTTTATTTTAATCCATTTCATCGGCCCTCACCTCAGTGTCTTCAGTTGAGAGTTTGGATCCTGTAGTAAATCAATAAGCTCCTTCACTCCTGATTCTCCAGGATCATTTCCTGTGAGATCCAGCTCTATCAGGTGTGAAGGGTTTGATCTCAGAGCTGAAGCCAGAGCTTTATAACCTTCTTCTGTGATACTGCAGTCTGAAAGTCTAAATAATACAACTGTAATAAATTACTCATTTAATTATTTAAACATTACTAATTTTTCTGCATGTTGTGCACCAATGCATTCACTGCTGGCTACCGTATCTGCAAAATAGTATGTTTACCATATTTTGAATTTTTTTTACAGGCCAGATTTAGGCTTTAACTTTGATTCATGTTTACATGAACTGAATTCAGACCTGAGTATCTGCAGTGTACACTGTGAATTTTCTAGTAGACTGGAGACTTGTGTTACTCCAGAGTCTCCAATTTTATTCTCACTCAGATCCAGCTCTCTGAGGTTTGAAGGGTTTGAGGTAAAAGCAGCGATCAGAGCAGCACAACCTTCTTCAGTTATACAGATGTTATTTAACCTGTAGAAACAAAGTGAAAAATATAGCTTCACGAAGCATTTAACTGGGTTCAAGCACTTTAAGCTTTAACATTGTTGACTGTATTAAATATATTGATGGTATTTTCTATTTAAAACTAATGTTAAGACGGGATTTTAGTTTTGAATGTTTTATGGTTATCTGTTTAGATATAAAAATATATATAACAAATAAATGTATATACAATGTATATAATACACTCACCTAAAGGATTATTAGAAACACCATACTAATACTGTGTTTGAGCTCATTTCGTCTTCAGAACTGCCTTAATTCTATGTGGCATCGATTCAACAAGGTGCTGAAAGCATTCTTTAGAAATGTTGGCCAATATTGATAGGAAAGCATCTTGCAGTTGATTGAGATATGTGGAATGCACATACGGGGAAAAATACACATCTATTGGGTTGAGATCTGGTGACTGTGGGGGCCATTTTAGTACAGTGAACTCATTGTCAGGTTCAAGAAACCAATTTGAAATGATTCGAGCTTTGTGACATGGTGCATTATCCTGCTGGAAGTAGCCAACAGAGGATGGGTACACGGTGGCCATAAAGGGGTGGACATGGTCAGAAACAATGCTCAGGTAGGCTGTTGCATTTAAACGATGCCCAATTGGCACTAAGGGGCCTAAAGTGTGCCAAGAAAACATCCCCACACCATTACACCACCACCACCAGCCTGCACAGTGGTAACAAGGCATGATGGATCCATGTTCTCATTCTGTTTATGCCAAATTCTGACTCTACCATCTGAATGTCTCAACAGAAATCGAGACTCATCAGACCAGGCAACATTTTTCCAGTCTTCAACTGTCCAATTTTGATGAGCTGTTGCAAATTGTCGCCTCTTTTTCCTATTTGTAGTATAGATGAGTGGTACCCGGTGGGGTCTTCTGCTGTTGTAGCCCATCCGCCTCAAGGTTGTGTGTGTTGTGTCTTCTTCACAAATGCTTTGCTGCATACCTCGGTTGTAAGGAGTGGTTATTTCAGTCAAAGTTGCTCTTCTATCAGCTTGAATCAGTCGGCCCATTCTCCTCTGACCTCCAGCATCAACAAGGCATTTTCGCCCACAGGACTGCCGCATACTGGATTTTTTTCCCTTTTCACACCATTCTTTCTAAACCCTAGAAATGTTTGTGTGTGAAAATCCCAGTAACTGAGCAGATTGTGAAATACTCAGACCGGCCCGTCTGGCACCAACAACCATGCCACGCTCAAAATTGCTTAAATCACCTTTCTTTCCCATTCCGACATTCAGTTTGGAATTATCCAAAGCTAAGCAACGCATACAATTATACAACTAATAGGTTGGCTATTGTTTTACTTACTTCAGCTTTACCAGTCTGCAATCTACATTTGCAAACAGAGATGAGATGATCTTCATTCCTGAGTCTCTGAGAATACTGCAACCTAAATCCAGCTCTTTCAGATTCGAAGGGTTTGAATTTAAAGCTGCAGCTAAAGCATTACAATCTTCTTCTGTAACATCGGTGTTATTCAGACTGTATAAAGAGAAAACTAAATGTCAGTACCTTAGTAAAGATGTTAGTCCGATACTACTTTTACTGTTATATTTATTACATATACTATTTTAAGTGACCATTGATAATGATGATGATGCAAATACAAATACATACATGAAAATTTGTTTAGCACTCACCATTTCACATTATAAATAAAATACAGATTTAAAAGCACTTTAACTTGTCATCATAACAACGACACAACTTACATTAGTGTGTTGAGTTTACAGTGTTTATCCTCCAGTACAGGAACAAGTTTCTTCAATCCCGAGTATCCCAGTTGACATTCATTCAGATTCAGCTCTCTCATAAGTAACAGGTTTTCACCCAGAACATTAGTCAGATTCTGACAGACTTCCTCTGCTTCAGGACTCAAAAACCTGCAGAATGGAAATTGAACCAAATTGAAATCAATTCACAACTAAGCTTGATGTAGCATTTGATTCTAATGTAAAAAGTCTGAAATGGGTAATCCTGAATTTACTTTTATTGAAATATTTCAGTGCAGCAGTACTTTCATCAATTAATTTGCCTGAATGTCACTTATTTTGTATTATTGCATCATATGTCACCTTATTGTGAGTTTACTGTCTTGTTTGTGTGGTAGATCAAGGAGATGCTTGACTCCTGATTCTCCAGGATCATTTCCTCTGAGATCCAGCTCTATCAGGTGTGAAGGGTTTGATCTCAGAACTGAAGCCAGTGCTTTATAACCTTCTTCTGTGATACTGCAGTTTGAGAGTCTACAGAAAAGAGATTTTAATCAAACATTCATCTGAATATAGAGAGAAATGAAATGCCTAGTCTTAGACATGGTAAATCTAGAGTCTAAGATTAATATGCTAGACATTAAATGACCTGAGTTTCTCCAGTTTGCAGTTCTCGTTCAGTCCATCAGAGAGCAGCCTCACTCCTGAATCCTGCAGATTATTATTGCTCAGATCAAGATCCTTCAGACTGCTGGAGTCTGAACTGAGAACTGAAGCCAGAGCTGAACAGCTATCCTCTGTTACCACACACTGCCTGAGTCTGAAAAATAAATGTCAATGTATTTGCGTGAGACTATTTCCAGTGTGAGATGCATGCTACAGAAGCAGACAGTATCTAGCGCCTCTTGAGGCCAAGGGAGTGAGGTTTACTGCACAGCTCTTACTGTTTGGCTTCTGTTATAGTCTCATAGTTTTTCTCTCACACGTCTCATGATCAGTTAACATATAGCTTTCCTGATTCTTATAACTCTTTTATTTTAACCTTTCCACAAAAGGAAAACCTCGCGCCGTCCTCTCACGTCCCTCGCCCTCGATCATCCTGCTCGCCACAGCCAACTAACTAGAAATTTTGTGTGAAATGAATTTCAAACACTGGTGGTGACAGCTAACGTTAGCCTTGCAGAAGGAAGAGTGATTTCTCTGTATGCGCTGTTCTGGATTAGTGGGTGTGGCTTGCGGAGCTGTGCAATGTAGTGCATTGTGGGACTTGTAGTCTTTTAATACAAATGCTTTTCTTTTCACAAATCTTTTCTCGGTCAAAAGGGCACCAAATTCAAAAATGATTTTACATTTCGACTACATATATGATCCACTTTCAATAAAGATTAATGTTGAAACTGATGGTATTGAAATCCATTATTTATAAACACTAAATCACACCTTTTGTCTGTTGTCACATAACTTACCTCAGTATCTCCAGTTTACACTTTACACTCTTCAGTCCAGAGCAGAGATGAATTACTCCTGAACTCTGTAGATTATTATTGCTCATATTCAGCTCTTCCAGATTGTTATCTGATTCGAGAGCTTTGGCCAGACTTGAACAGCTTTTGTCTGATAAGTCACAATTGTTTAACCTACAAGAGAAATTGAGAATACAAAGAAAAATTTAATACCAACAAAGGATTTGCTATACAAGTATATATATAAATTCTTTAATTAATTTATACGATTGATAAATATACGACAGTAATAGGCCTAAGAGATAAAGATGATGCATACAATATACATTTAAATTTTAAGATGTTGTTTTAACCACTACAAAAAAATTGTTGGAAACATAGAATTTCCTGGGTGTTTAAAATAGTTTCTAAGTTATCTTAATAATCAATAATGGTAATAGATAACCATAACAATTGTAAATTAATACGATTAAATAACATTCGTAGTATAGAGCACATACTCTTTATAATCGTTTTTAAAATTGTGGTTTTATTTTATACTGGCATTGATAAGGTTAATGCCAGGAATTTCAAAGAAAGGGCGAGGAATTAGAGAGTTAGGCTGGTGCGCCTGTGTTATATTTGATCTGCATTACAATTAAAAGTTCAGAAACAGAACAAGGGCCCATGTGTCCTGCAGAGTTGAGCTCCAACCTTAATTAACATATCTGAACCAACTAATCAAGCTCTTCAGAATTACTTGAAAATCACAAGATGAAGCAGGTTCGACTATTGTAGGGCAGTGGGCCATCAGGCCCAGGTTGAAGACCTCTGCTTTAAATTACTTACAGAGCTTTTTTGGAGAGTTTCACAACTTCCAACAGTCTAAAGAGACACTCGTCTGATTTCTTGAATTTCTGAAGATCAAACTCCTCCATCTCCTCTTCTGATGTCAACAACACAAAGGCCACAGCAGACCACTGGGCAGGTGAAAGGTCAGCAGATGAGAGACTTCCTTCTCGAAGTTGAGTCTGAATCTCTTTCACCAGAGTTTGATCATTCAACTCATTCAGACAGTAGAACAGATTGATGGATCTCTCTGGAGACAGAGTTTTATCCAATTTCTCCTTGATGTACTGAACTATCTCCTTTTTGCTCTGGTCATTGTCATCTTGCTGTGTCAACAGTCCTCGTAAGAGTGGACGATTAGTCTGGAGTGACAGACCGAGGAGGAAGCGAAGGAAAAGGTCCAGATGTCCAGTTTCACTCTCGAGCGCCTTGTCCACTGCAGTCTTGAGCAAATCAATCATGGCTTCTTTGGTGTTTTCCTGTTCTGCAGACTCTTGATCAAACACACTTTTCTTCTCTATGTCTAGAAACAGATGTGCAAAAAGGGCTGCAATAAACTCTTGAATACTCAAGTGAACAAAGCAGAAAGTGGTACCAAATATGATCCCTCTTTCCTCCTTGAAGATCTGGGTACACATGCCTGAGTACACTGATGCTTTAGATACGTCAATACCACAGTCTTCCAGATCCGTGTCATAGAAGAGCAGGTTGTTTCTTTCCAGCTGATGAAATGCCAGTTTTCCCAGTGAAAGGATGGCGTCTTTATCCCAGGAAAAATCAGGTGTGTATTTTCCTTCATACTTTCGTCTGCTCTGCTGGATCTGAAAGCGTAGAAAGTGTGTGTACATTTGTGTCAGAGTCTTCGGAGTGTCTTCAGTATTTGATTCCTGCAGTGTTTTAGAGGCTTCATCAGCCTGATTGTCATTATTTCTTTTCTCTCCCAAAATGTTTCCCAAAACAGTGGCCGAAATCCAGCAGAAGACTGGGATGTAGCACATGATGAAGAGACTCTTTGATTGTTTAACATTGTCAATGATTTCATTGGCCAGATCCACATCCATGAATCTCTTCCTGAAGTATTCCTCCTTCTTTTGTGCATCATTGAATCCTTGTACTTCTGTCACGCGGTCGATACATTCAGGAGGAATCTTACTGGCAGCGGCTGGTCTGGTGGTGATCCAGATGAGAGCAGAAGGAAGCAGATTTCCCTTGATGAGGTTCGTCAGGAGAACATCCAGAGAGGCTGGTGACGATACGTCACGCCACGTCTCATTGCCATCAAAGTTTAGGGGAAGACGACATTCATCCAATCCATCAAGGATGAACAGGACTTTGAATTTATCGCTTCTTGCAAGGTTCAATCCTTTTATCTCTGGGAAAAACTGACTTATAAGACTTGTTAAACTTTGTTTTTCTTTCTCCTTTAAGTTCATCTCTCGAAATGCAAGAGGAAATGTGAAAGTAATATCCTGATTTTCTTTTCCGTCAGCCCAATCCACAATAAACTTTTGCACAGAAATGGATTTTCCGATGCCAGCAACTCCTTTTGTCAGTACAGTTCTGATCTCTTTGTCTTGTTCAGATGGTTCAAACAAATTTTTGCACTCAACTGGAATCTCTTGTGATTCTTGCCGCCTGGAAGCAGCCTGAATCTGTCTTACTTCATGTTCAGCATTGACTTGTTGAATGGCACCCTGAGTCATATAGAGATCTGTGTAGATGTTATTCAGAAGCTTGGAGTCACCGTGTTTTCCAATTCCTTCAGATACAGATTGATGCCTGTTCTTCAGGTTTGATTTTAGCGGTCGTTGATGAATGAGGACCAGCTCATCTAACACACAAATGTTAATAAAAAACAGATATGCATCATTCTCTTGAACATTTTATAAGTGAAATTAACAGATTGTTATGCCCATTAAACTCTTACCTTGTAGAGCATCTGCAGCCTCAACTTCATTCATATCTTTCAGGAAGTAGAGAGTCAGATCAAGAGCCGCTTCTTTAATATCACGCATTTCCTCTGTAAAGTCCTGCACAAAGTATTGTGTGTTTCCTCTATTAAGTATTTTCTTAAACTTTTCCAGCTCATTCTTCAGAAATATGATTATTTTGTTCAACATCCTGAAAAAAAGCAAGAAAAAATATGTGTCAACTAAGAAACCAAATCCTATGCCCTTTGTTATATACATTTAATTTTTTTTTTAATTTAAACAATTTACTTGAAGTACAAATTACAGGCAAGCAACAGTGAAATGAACTCATTTAGTTTGACAATTATGACCATATGTAAGGTAAAGTGGTGGTGAATACAAAAACACAAACAGCAGGCCCTGTTCCAGAAATAAATCAATGCTTCTAAAATGAATGAGGCTGCTCTGATAAAGTGCAGATGAAGGCTGAGCAATGGCTCCCCCATAGCATTGTAGGCTACAGAGGGACAGATAAGAATATTTACAAGTCATCACTTTTACCAAAAATTGGAAAATAAATTGAAATAATATTTTGCTTTGTATATTTTTCTATAAATCTAAGTCTCCCTTTACATTGTTTTTATGTGTTTTTATGTCATGTCCTGCTGAGAACCAAAAAACAAAAAAAGTTCAGAAACTTTCTTTACTTTCTTATGAAAGTTCTTTCGTAAGAAACAAATGGGATAAATACATTTTTGAAAAGGAAATTGAAAGTATTCCAATATTATGCTATGTCATCTGTAGACGACACCAGGAACTAGGACCAATTGATTACAAAAATGAAAAGACATGAAAAGAGATGAACAGGCAAAAATGTCTTGGGTTATGGGAACTCCCCCAGCGTAACACGTCTGAAGCATGAATGAAATCCGTCCAATCCTGATTGGTGATGCGCCATGATGTAGTAGATGACGGCATAACCGGAAGCTACAAAGGGATGCCCAGAGCACACACACATCAGCTTTTTTTGTGATGAAGCAAGCACTCTCCCCATGATAGGTGTGGCGAGACGCAGTGTTTCATTCCCTTCTTGGGGAATAAGGGTTACAGTCGTAACCCAAGACGTTCCCCTTCGAAGGAACTCGCACTTCGGCATCGTCGTGATGACACTTTAGGGAACGAAATACCACTATGCCACACTGTAATCACACACGCCCTAGTGTGGTGTGTGTGTGTGACCAGGCACACTCTCCCCCTTCCTCCCGCTCCCCCTCCCCCTTTTAAATAGTTAAATAACATGTGTTTGTTATAAAATAAATCATAAGCATTTATGTTTGTTTTACTTACCTTGAAGATCCATAGGAGATTTTCTTTGAAATTCTTGCGGAAGCGTTGATTCTTCAAATCTGAGTCTGATTTCACAGATTGAACCCTGGTAGAAAAGAAAGAGGATTATTATTAGGGACCAAGCCCTGAAAGGGCGAAGGCCCTTTTGTTTTCCTTAGGATAATTTTTTTTTAAATGTTCTATTGACTATTCGGGCACTTTTGAGGCCCTTAACATGCTCAAAAACTCTTGAAACTTTGCACATGGTTCAGAACCCGTGGCCATCAGGGCCGGGCTGATGCTGGTACCCGGGCGTCGCAGTAGGGCTCGACAGCACCCCCTGCAATGGGCTCAGAAAACTTGGTCCATAAATCAAACACGCTTGCATGTAATAATATGAAACTCGGTACAAATATACATCTCATCGGTTCATATATACTTCACACTTCTACAACCCCAGCCCAACAGGAAGTCAGATATTTACGGTTGTTTGGAAATTGCATGCAATGGAATATGAAATACTCCTCCTAGAGAATTCAAACACATGGCACGAAAGTCAAGCATGAAGTCAAGACATTGAGGATGAAAGTTTGCGAGGGGATTTTTGACATCTCGAACGGTTTGGCCGTGACGAGGAAACGCAAATATGCGTTTAGGTAACTAAAGGAACCGGGGTTGCGGTGCCACCGGCTTGGGCCCATCATTGCTGCTCACAGCTATATTTATTTTTGCATTTCAATCCATACTAATGGCTCAACAATAAAAAGTTATGTAGGGGCGATATCCTCTTAGTTGTAATAATAGACTAATATGTATTCCACTTGAACCTGGTGACTGAAATTTATGAGCTCATTGCAACTTTACATTTTTAAACTTTATATTTATATTTATATATGGATCACTGCAAACTGTCAGTTTGCTTCAAAAGGCACAGGTACATTACATGTAAAGAAAACAGGTTATATAAATAAAAACATATTTTGACACAGTAGATCCTTTTAAGATGAAGTTTAATTTCTGGTTGTAAAATGTAATCTGTCGTATATTGTGTTCTCACCTGTTGAGAAGAAAAGTTGCCAGTTCCACATCACTCTTCAATTCCTTCTGTGCTTTTAGAGCTTCCCACCGTTTAAATTCTGCACCAATATTTACTGTGGTATTTTGCCCTTTGTTACTAAACCACACACAAAAAGAAGAAAATCACATAAAAATGTACAGATTCACTGTTGTCAATTTCATTTGGTCAAACCATTGTCAAGCCAGCAGCTTACTACTACCCACTTCATCAGTACAGAAAGGAGGTTTATTGGAAAAGCAGTTTTATTAAGAACACAAGAAATATGTTTTGATAGATGATGGTGTTTTCTCACTGAAGTTCAGTCCATCACCATTTAAATGGTCACTCTTCATAGACACTGAGCTGGACACACTAATTACACAAAGCTTTACTAAAGGATACTAGAGGTTCATTTAAAGAGGTTTGACGTTGCAAATGGTACTTCTATATTTTGCCCGTGTGTAATGTATTTATACTTGATTACCTGTTTTGTATTTCCACTGTGGAATGTAGCGCCCTATGGCTACCTGTGTTATTGAATGACCATGTTCATTAACAAGTACAGCAGTTTACAAATTTCTTTCAATACACTTTGATTTATTCTTAAATTTAGTCATTTTCCAGTACATACACCAAGTTAAAATCACTGCATGTTTGTGTAACGTGTTTGTTCTGTTTTGGTTTGGTTCTGTCATTTTCTTCTGTGATATTCTGTGTGTTTGCTTTGTATTTTGTATCAAGTGTTTGTTTTGGATTCTCATTCGCTTTATATAGACACACATCTCGTGACAGTTACATGTGATGACCGATTTTACTTATTTAATAATAATAATGAATCAATGGATCGCCTGTAAGATGCTTGGAGAAACAGATGAAATACCTTTTATTACATGGTGTTTTCTCACTGAAGGTTGGTCCATCATCTTTTGACTGGTCACTCTTCATAGACACAGAGGACAAATATGAGCCTGCTCTTACTCTAATAACAAAGAGACAAGAGAAGAAAAAGCACTTTACTAGGAGATACTTCAGTCTCATTTGAAAAAGGTTTGAAAGTGTGCATGTCGCGGATGTCCTAATCGTCCTAATCGGGCGCACAAGATAACACGTCAGCAGCATCATTGGAATCGTGAACGAACAATGACAACAGAACCAGAAGAGAATACAATGCTGAATAAAGTCGTTGTTTTTGCTATGTTTGGACCAAAAAGTATTTTCGATGCTTCAAAAAATTCGAACTAACCGACTCATGTCACATGGACTACTTTGATGATGTCTGTATTGCCTTTATGGACAAGGACAGTATAAGGTACATACATTTTCAATGGAGGGACAGAAAGCTCGCCGACTAAATCTAAAATATCTTAAACTGTGTTCTGAAGATGAACGGAGGTCGTACGGGCTTCGATCGACATGAGGGTGAGTCATTAATGACAAAATTTTCATTTTTGGGTGAACTAACCTTTTAATAATAAATGACTTACTACATCAGCTGAATCTGTGCTCCTCGAAATGAAACCAGCACTTAGTTAACTTTGGTAACTATTAAACTGGATATTTTATCCAGCTGATGTGGGCGTTTTCATGGCTTGCCTCAACATTAGCGTTTGAATAGCGTGCGCTCTCAGTGGGCGTGGTCACATTACAATTTAATTAGATGAAAGGAAAAAGACTGACTTCTCTCTCTTTAAAAACAGATTAAATCAACTGAGAATAGCTGTTTTTTATATAAATTACTTAATTTAAAAGAAGAGAATTTCAGCTTCATAAAGAGAAATATTTTGTGTCTCTGTGACTAATATTTACTTAGTTACAGTTCATTTTTCGGACACGTTTCAGAATAAACTTCAATGACAGAGAAAAGGCAAAACGTGCATCATGTTTATTTTACTTTATTTGACAAAAAGAAGAACACTTTGTTTTTATTGTGAGTATGCACAAAAAACTAGACACTTAACAGGATCTAATGGTGTATAACACTTATATGCAGGATGCGATTTGCCGGGGGGGATGTGTGGGATTTCCCCCTTTCTGGTCAATGTATCCCTGCCTCTGCTTAATTATTTTTATCCCCGGTGGGGATAAATTTATCCCCCCCTCAGTGTGATCAGTGATCCTACACTAGTGGTGAGACGGATCAGAAAACTTATCACGGATCCGTGCTTTGATTAAAGTTAATTTTAGTTTTAAATGCGCTACTTTGGCTGACTCTCATATAGCTGCCGCTCTGCACGAGTCTGCAGACTTGCTAAATGTCCCTTCTGATTGGTTACACCTCGTATAATAGCCTATCAACACTTGCGAGACGGTTGCAGGTCTGCGCTGGGCTGTGGAGCTGCTTGTAGAAATGAAGGCAGCATAGCTATTCAGAATAAACATCACAATCTGATTTTCTGTTTCTATGATGACAAGCAGAGCTAGTGTCCAGTCACTGAGAATGGCCGAAGTTATACACACGGACCCGGTGTTTCACTCAACTGAGACTAAAGCAAAGGTTTTTGTCACTCACTCTTGAACATCTGGCGCGAGTGATTTCAATGTTAATTCAATGTAAAGACGCGTTTACGCGCGTCTAGAGGTTCTGCGGCGCAAATGAGGCGAATTAACAAACATAGATAATGCATCTGTTTTTTTTAATTATTATTTCACTGTAGGTCAGCATCGCGATGTAACGTTAACATTATAACTTTAACGTAACAGCAGCAGTAAAACTGTTTCTATTACGGTTTAACTTTGCAATCAATCCCTGGTTCAGGAGAGGCTGATATAAATTAGCCTCTAACGTTACCCTATTAATGTATTGATTTAATTATTGCATGTTTTTTGTGCATGATCACAGTTCATATATGTGTGGGAAGCTATTAAAAATTGCGTTAGGATACTTCATGAGTTATTAAGAATTTTTTTCCTGCAAATGCAGTGATGAAGTTCATGAATTTTTTTATGATTTTTTTTTTTTCAAAACATCCCCCCCTCTGTTTTTTTCACAAATCGCACCCTGCTTATATGTAAGATCAAAATCAGCAGAGTAATTTGAGTGTCTTTTTCACTTTTAAGAAAAATAGTGAGCCTATCGCGCCGGCGCGATAGCTGACCCCAGGGGGTTAAATACCTTTTGGTAGATGATGTTTTTTTCTCACTGAAGGTTGGTCCATCATTTTTTGAATGGTCACTCTCCACAGATACAGAGCTGGACACACGTGAGAACAATCTTTCACTAATGACAAGACGGGGAAAAAAACATTAACACATGAGGCTCAGTAAAATATATGAATGCTACTAAAAACTATTCATTATTATTCTTCACTCGAATCCAAAGGAGACATTGATTCATGATTGAACAATGCATTTCATCGCCAAGGCCAGGCAAGTTTGTTGATATTCAAAGTGCTTTACTGAATAAAAATAATAAAAATAATTAAAACAGTTTAGATACACATCCAGTGACAGTTACATGTGATGACCGATTTTACTTATTTAATAATAATGAATCAATGGATCGCCTATAAGATGCTTGGAGAAACAGATGAAATACCTTTTGTTACATGGTGTTTTCTCACTGAAGGTTGGTCCATCATCTTTTGACTGGTCACTCTTCATAGACACAGAGGACAAATATGAGCCTGATCTTACTCTAATAAAGAGACAAGAGAAGAAAAAGCACTTTACTAGGAGATACAGTACTTCAGTCTCATTTAAAAAGGTTTAATATGGTAATTAGATGGGTAGATTGAAAAAACTAGATCAAAGAAGGCTTTCTTTGAACTCTCCGCCTGCTCTTACACTGAAAAGATCTGCTAAGTTTTTCAGTATATGTAGCAACAATAAGAAACCCATAAACTCTCTGGGGTCAGGTGTGTTCGAGGTCCTTGAGATGTTTTGACATTTTTGCTTTTTTCGGTTGCTTATAAACATATTAATGGCACAGGTGAAATTACACTCTATTTAGCAGAGACAGGGCTACCATAATATGTGAGCAACATGTATGTACATGTTTGTATTTTTTAGAGAATTTTGTTTATGCGTGGTTATTGAAAAAACTTAAGATGAACGTTTCTAAAATTAGGCCACAAAACACATTAAATACTGTATTTTATAGTAAATATAGTAAAAACTTTATAATCTATTGAGCAAAGGAGGCTTTCTTTCAACTCCCCGCCTGCTCTTACACTGAAAAGATCTGCAAAGTTTTTCAGTATGTGTAGCAACAATAAGAAACCAATTATATACCTTTTGGTAGATGATGTTTTTTTCTCACTGAAGGTTGGTCCATCATTTTTTGAATGGTCACTCTTCACAGACACAGAGCTGGACACGTGTGAGTCTGATATTTCACTAGTGACAAAATGGAGAAAAAAAGGAGGGTTCTCAGTAAAATATATGAATGTTTTATTAAAACCATTCTTTGTTATTCTTCACTCGAATTAAAAGGATACATTGAGTCATGAACAATGCATTTCATCACCAAGGCCAGGCTGGTACAAGGCCACACTGGTAATTCAAAGTGCTTTACTGAATAAAAATAATAAAAATAATTAAAACAGTTTAGACACACATCTCGTGACAGTTAGATGTGATGACCGATTTTACTTATTTAATAATAATGAATCAATGGATCGCCTGTAAGATGCTTGGAGAAACAGATGAAATACCTTTTATTACATGGTGTTTTCTCACGGAAGGTTGGTCCATCATCTTTTGACTGGTCACTCTTCATAGACACAGAGGACAAACGTGAGCCTGATCTTACTCTAATAAAGAGACAAGAGAAGAAAAAGCACTTTACTAGGAGATACTTCAGTCTCATTTGAAAAAGGTTTAATATGGTAATTAGATGGGTAGATTGAAAAAACTAGAGCAAAGGAGGCTTTCTTTGAACTCTCTGCCTGCTCTTACACTGAAAAGATCTGCTAAGTTTTTCAGTATATGTAGCAACAATAAAGCCTGTTTTATGCTTCTGCGTCGAATCGACGGCGTACCCCCGCAGACCCCTATCCGTCGACGCGAACCCCTCTCAGACCCCTCCGCCGTAGCTCGACGTGCACCTCCGAAAATTTGTAACTACGCGTCGTGGCGACGCAGGCAGCAAGGGCTTTGATTGGTCAGATTATACATAAATTCAGGAGTGTAGCTTTTCCGATTCCCCCTCCCGCTATTAGCGCTATTTTTAACATTTGCACCCTCGTTCTGATAATTATAATACTCGTATAAAGAAAGTAAATAAAGAATTAAACGAAAAATAAACTGTTTTATTTCATTGTTAATATATATGTCTATATTCTTTTCTTTTTTTTTTGCTCGCAATAAACTTCAATCAATCAATAAATCAACGTTTGTTTTGAAACACAGTTTGTTGTTTATTTTCAATACAATGTTCACGGTTACATCATTGATAATACAGTACTAACCAAGTCTGCCACGGGACACATTATCCTGCCATAGCACAGTTCCATGTGGAGACAGAAAAAAATCCTTCAAGTCATTCCGAACAGGTATCGTTATGGCAGCTCGGGTGGAACCTTTATTTTACTGTCTATGGGTGGAACGGGCCCTGGACATCCGTGTTGATTCTGTGGGGATAAAGTTTGTGTCGTCTCGTTATTCAACGTCGATAAGCTCCAGCTGACAGCTGCAAAAACAACATTCTCTCTCTTTCGCTCGCGGCGCACGAAACCAAAGAGATTCGCGAACCCCCCTAGCGTTCTGGCGGCGAAATGCACCGCGATGCACCACAACCTCGCGGAGAAGCATAAAACGGCCACGACGCCGTAGTGGTGACGACGTAGCTACGCCGTGGAGTTGACGCAGAAGCATAATGAGGCCTTAAGAAATCCATAAACTCTCTGGGGTCAGGTGTGTTCGAGGTCCTTGAGATGTTTTGACATGCCCTGACATTTTTGCTTTTTTCGGTTGCTTATAAACATATTAATGGCACGGGTGAAATTACACTCTATTTAGCAGAGACAGGGCTACCATAATATGTGAGCAACATGTATGTACATGTTTGTATTTTTAGAGAATTTTATTTATGCGTGGTGATTGAAAAAACTTAAGATGAAAGTTTCTAAAATAAGGCCACAAAACACATTAAATACTGTATTTTATAGTAAATATAGTAAAAACTTTATAATCTATTGAGCAAAGGAGGCTTTCTTTGAACTCTCCGCCTGCTCTTAGATGTGATGACCGATTTTACTTATTTAATAATAATAATGAATCAATGGATCGCCTGTAAGATGCTTGGAGAAACAGATGAAATACCTTTTGTTATATGGTGTTTTCTCACTGAAGGTTGGTCCATCATCTTTTGACTGGTCACTCTTCATAGACACAGAGGACAAATGTGAGGATGATCTTTCACTAATGACAAAGAGACAAGAGAAGAAAAAACACTTTACTAGGAGATACTTCAGTCTCATTTGAAAAAGGTTTAATATGGTAATTAGATGGGGATGTAACCCATTAGTGGGATTCAACACCGCAAAAAGAAAAGGAGGAAAAATATCTACTTGGGTCTGAGCTCACCAAATACCTATAATTCACAGTTTATAATGGTATCTGGAGTCCCGGGTTCGGGGTCTCACACCTTGCAATAAAAAAAATTAAATGTGTGTCTGCACTTGTTTAAATTAATGTCTGTAGTGCTAACTAGAAAATAAAATAAATGAAAATGATATTAAATAAACCAATGAATAAACTTCAATATAAAATAGAATGAATTAATAAATGATAATGAAAGGAATTAACAGATAGGTCAATCAGATCACTGAACAGTAACTGTTTACTTGAATGTCATTGCGCACGAATCGCTTTTCACACATCACATTAGAATCCCATTTGACAAATCACCATTTCGAAAAAAAAAAACAAAAAAAAACAATGACCATCAAAGGACACTAAAATATATAAAAGAAAAATAAAATAAAAAAATAAAGAAAAATCAGTTCGTGTTCACAGCAGTATAAGTGCCATGCAAATGACTAAGTTCAGTTTCATTGGAATGTGACTCAATTTGTTCAATTTGTTCGTAAAGTGACTCGGTTCAATTTGTTCGAAATGTGACTCAGTTCATTGAGAAGATGGAGATGACTCAGTTCGCGTGAAAGTGAAAATGACTCAGTTCGCGTGAAAGTGAAAATGACTCAGTTGGGTTTGTTTGTTTGCGTAAATGCCTACTAAACTCCGTGCAGTGATGAAAGCCGAACGTGAAGAGTTTCTTGAGTGAAGAGTCCCTTGAGTGAAGAGTCCCTGATGACGCAATTCCTCCAGTGGAAATCCAGCGCGTTCTCCCTCACGGCGCAACACGATCCCAGAGCGTTGAAACAATCCCAACTAATACAATGAAACAGTTCAGACATCGATTTAGAACAATATTAATGACGATGGATTTGATTAACGAGAGCTCACACATGTGGCTCACGTCTCTCTCTTCAATGATCTGGCGCGCATGTCACGTCAGCACCCATCGCAAAAATGCATTTAACATTCAATAATGTTTAAACTTACATTATTCCCCTTACATAAATGTGCAACCAGTTTTTAACAAGTATACTACTGCAGCATAAGTGCTTTACATGTTTTCTATTGCACACTATATACTCAATCACAAACACCATTAACCATCCACATTTTCTTATATGAACAAACACAAACTTGAACATTATACATGAAAATATGACCCAATTGTGACTTACCTAATACAATGAAACAGTTCAGACATCGATTTAGAACAATATTAATGACGATGGATTTGATTAACAAGAGCTCACACATGTGGCTCACGTCTCTCTCTTCAATGATCTGGCGCGCATGTGACGTCAGCACCCATCGACGCAATGAATTATTTTCACCACTCCGCGAAAACAAAATAGTAATTAAAATAAAAATAAAAATAAAACATATGTCTGAACAGTTCATGCATTAGGCAAGGAAAAAAAAATATGTATATAAACAAAACAAAACAAAAATACATGAAAATACATAGCAACACAGCCTCAATTAATTGGGTGGGTTACATCCTCCCCTGCTGAAACTCTGATGTCCTCATCAGATACTTAATTTGATACATGACCCACAAGGCTAAATAACAATTCACTTTGAGTTTGTTGCACTCTCATCTGTTGTTGCATCATTTCAAGTACTTGGCTAAAATAACTCGATTTGGGTTCTACATGAACACTCTGCTTTCCACATTGTGCTTTCCAAACAAAATCTTTCAATTTACTTGGGGGTCTTTTCTCTCTTTGGGACCTCCTTAACTCAACATGAGAATCAAGTTTCCCTTCAGCACTCAACTCATCGGGATGAACTGACACCTCATTGACATCATCCTCTAAGGGCGAGACATCTTGCTGGATTACAGTCTCATTAACATCATCCACATTGTTTTCAACAGATTGAGTGCCTTGCCAATCACCTTTCTGAATTTCAACTTCATGCTCATTCAACAAACTGTGAGACACAAAAGGTTCAGAGACTTCTTGCAAGACTGTCCCCAACTGGAACTCTGGGGCATAAGGATTCAGAGACATATTGTGACCTTCAATTTCCACACTCTCATCACAACATTCAGCCTCCATATCCCCTTCCAACTCAAGTTTACGCCTCCTGCGTGTAACTGCTCCTTCGACAACCGGAGCCTCATCAATCTCATCATGACTCGTTGGAAGAAACCCACATGGAAGTAAAAGATCTCTGTGCAGAACACGCTCAGGGCCTTCGCAGTTCTCAGGCTGAATAACATACACGGGGATCTCTGCATTAGGCTGCTTTACCACCACATAGATGGTGGATTCCCAACGATCTGCAATCTTGTGCTTTCTCCGGATGTTAACATTTCTTACAAGAACGCGATCGCCAACTTCTACTGTAGCAGCAGTCACTTTCTTATCCCATCTAGCTTTATTCATCAATTGCCTCTTTTCCGCATTTTGAACTGCCAATTGATAAGCGTACCGCAACCTTCGTTTCAACTCACTGACATAATGAGTATGCGTTTTGGAATTATGCCCCTTTGGGTTAATCCCGAAGCAAAGGTCAATTGGGAGACGAGGTTGGCGTCCGAACATAAGAAAGAAAGGAGTCTCACCAGTCGCATCATTTCTAGTGCAATTGTACGCATGCACTACAGGACGGACATATTTTCTCCAATGTTCCTTCTTTTTATCACTAAGGGTTCCCAGTAAATCCAGTAGGGTTCGATTAAATCTTTCTACTGGGTTTCCCCGCGGGTGATAAGGTGTAGTGCGGGACTTAACTCCTGCTAGTGTGCACAACTCCTTCACAAGATCGGACTCAAAATTTGCCCCCTGATCACTATGTATTCTCTTAGGAAAACCAAAACTGCAAATCAGATTTTCCCACAGCACCGAGGCCACCGTTTTGGCTGTTTGGTCTTTGGTTGGAAATGCCCAAGAAAACTTAGTGAAAAAATCAGTAATGACTAATATGTTGCGGGTGTCATTTGAATCTGGCTCTAATGAAAGATAGTCAATACAAACTAATTCCAAGGGAGAATAAGCTTTGATGTTCACTAGTTCTGCAGCTCTTTGTGCACGAGCCTTTCTCTTGACGCATCTCTCGCAAGTCCTGCACTTTTTCTCCACATATTCTGCCATTTTAGGCCAATAAAATCTGCCCCTTGCGAGCTCCAGTGTCCTCTCATACCCCATGTGCCCTGTCTCGTCATGAACTCCTTCAAGAGCCCTGTCTCTAAGACTCGGGGGAACCACCAGCTGCCTGTATTTTTGTCCATACTGATCAGATACTGTACGATACAGAACGCCATCTACTAAATTTAGTCTAGGCCTTTCCCTCAGCATCAGACTCACTTCTTTAGATTCTTTTAGTCTATCCGCATGAGCTAAAGTTTCTCCAGACTCCACAAGGGCAATTATCCTTCCGATGGCTACATCCTCTCTCTGTAACTGGTACCAATCTGCGGGAGTCATACTGGGTAAAGCAGTCTGTCCAGGCCAGTGCTCAGGTTCTATCAAATCATCAGGAACCACATCATCATTGCAAAGAAGCATCTCGACAGCGGGATTCGAGATGACGCTGCCTTCCAGCAGGTCTCCCTCATCACACGGCTGTACGACATGCGTCTCGCAACACACTGAATGTCGCAAACACACAGTTTTGATTGCTTGATGTTCGATGTTTTCAAACTCACTTGCTGCACATTCTGCTCTACTTATCAAGTTTGCTACTCGTTCATCGATCTGTATGGCCTACTCATCATCCATAAGTGGTTTTTGAGGACGACGAGACAGCCCGTCCGCGTCGACATTAGTTTTGCCCGCTCTGTACTTAATATCAAAATCATACATAGACAGAGCCGCGAGCCACCTATGGCCAGCCGCATCCAATTTAGCCGTAGTGAGCACATACACTAATGGATTGTTGTCTGTTAGCACGGTAAACTTTGTGCCATACAAGAAATCGTGAAATTTCTCACACACAGCCCATTTGAGTGCTAAGTACTCTAGCTTGTGCACTGGGTAGTTTTTCTCACTCTTAGAAAGACCACGACTGGCATAGGCGATCACTCTTGTCTTTCCATCTTGAACTTGATACAAAGCAGCACCTATGCCAGTGACACTAGCGTCAGTGTGTAGAATGTATGGTAACTTCCAGTCTGCAAAAGCTAAAACAGGCGCTGTTGTGAGCTTTTGAATGATAGTGTCAAAAGCAACTTGACACTCATTATCCCATTTCCCAGCTAGAGATTGCGCTTTACTCCTAACACGGTAAGATGATGTTGACCGTCCTCTAGTAGAGAATTCACCCTGTAATAACGCATTCAGAGGCTTAACTATCTGGGAGTAGCTTTCAACAAATCGCCGGTAATACCCAGCAAAGCCTAGGAATGACCTCAAATCTCTGACAGTCTTTGGGATGGGCCATTCTGTCAAAGCAGAAATCTTGTCTGGGTCAGGGTGTATGCCTTGCGCAGAAATAACATGCCCTAGATATCTGACGGAAGTTTGAAAGAACTTACACTTGGACGGTGCTAACTTAAGCCCAAACGCGGAGATACGTTGGAGAACCTTCATAAGTCTAGCCTCATGTTCTTCAAGTGTGTCAGAGAAAATGATCAAGTCGTCAAGAAAAGCTATAACTTCCTGCAAATTCAAACCCGCCATGACTTTCTCCATGGTTCTCTGAAAAGTGGCTGGAGAATTCGTCAGCCCTTGTGGTAAACGCCGAAATTGCCAATTTCCAAATGGCGTAGTGAACGCAGTTTTGGGGCGATCACTCTCTTCCACCTCCAACTGGTAATATCCACTTTTTAAATCTAGGACCGTAAACCACTTCGAACCTGACAGCAATGTAAAGGTTTCCTCGATCCTGGGAAGAGGATATGCATCTCCCTTTGTCAACTTATTTAGTTTGCGATAATCAACCACCATTCTCAAGTCACCGTTTTTCTTCCTCACCAGTACTACTGGTGAAGCGTAGGGACTATTTGATTCTTCTATAATCTCACTAGCAAGCAGATCTAACAAGTGTTTCCTTAAGTCCTCAAAGTCAGCTGGAGAGACACGACGAGTACGCTCTTTGAACGGAACATGCTCAATTAGCTCTATCCTATGTGCCACGCCTGACACTCGTCCCACATCTAGATCATGCTTGGCAAATGCACTTGATGCCTCACGGTTTATTCTTCCCACTATGCGAGCTTTGAGCTCCTCAGAAATGGGGGAACCATCAAAATCGAGAACCACAGGATCGTCTGCCTTTACCATAAGACTTGCCATCAGAGAAGTGGTAGTTTGAGAAGTACTAGCATTATCAAATATAGGCAGAGACTTCATCCATTCCACCACTGAACACTCAGCGAGAACGCCTTTTGGCTGCAAGGTCACACTGTGGTCTGAAACATTTCGAATGACCACTTTGACTTTATTTCGAGCTCTAGCCTCAGCTTGTATCAACTTACATTCCACGACTAAACCACCTGGAAGATGATGCATCACTGGTTCATCAATGATCATTGTCTTGCTCTGGCCGAAATCTTTAGCTCGATACACCCCGGTCACTTCACACTTTTCACCTTTACTGATCGTTACAGATCTCTTACCCGACAGTCTAACTGGGGTGAGGCACTGTGCCCCTTTACAAGGTGTCGAAGTAGCTTCACAAGTACTATAAGCAGCCATCCAGTCGCTGCTAATGGGCATTTGCGGTAGGTAATTCTTTTCCTGCACCGTGTTACAATCTTGTACAAGATGACGGAGAACATTTGTACCCACTAACAAGGGCGACCGAGCACTGTAGGTTTGATCAGGACAGACCAGCGCTAGTACGGCAACCACTTCATCTGTTCCACAAGCAGACTTCGGAAACTGGACATCGATTTCAATGTATCCTAGATAAGGGACTAATTGCCCTGCAGCCCCCTCAACCCGGAGTAGTTCTACCATGGGGGTAATACCCCTATGCTGTAAACACTGCTTGTAGAAAGATTCAGCTACACAAGTCACCTGTGACCCAGTGTCAATTAGACAACAACATTCAATTCCATCCACCCAAGCCTGACTTTCCCAAGGTTCTCCAACTAATCCCCTAGGAACCTGGTTTGTCTTTTCTATGGAACCTTTTACAACTCCAGCCTCTGTTTGTTCCACAACAGAGGCTACTCCATGTTTAAATGAGCAGCGGGTGTCGTCACTTTGTTTGGAAGACTCCTTTGCTCATGTCTCTGCACCAGCCTTTTCTGCACCAAGGCTGCATTCACTGGATTAGTGCACTGTTGCAAATAATGAGAATCCTCACCACAGCGATAACAAAATCCACTCATGGGCAGTGACTTAGCTTGAGTTTGAGGCACAGGGCGTGAGGACTTCCCTTCTTTGCTCCCTTTCTTGTTTGGCACTTTTGACTGGTGTTGATCATATGGCAGTTTCTTCACTGAAACTGGCTTTGGTGCTTTTGCTTTAGCTACCTCAGCTTCAAGCTCTCTAATGCGTTCTGTCAAGGCCAGATTTACTTGTGCTTCCCCAGAGTTTGCTACAAATCCCTGGTCGGCAGTAACATGCACTTGGCTCTGCGCTCTAACAGGAGGCATGCATAAATGGAAATTCATACGTTTCTCTTTAAGCTGCTTCTCATGCTCGAAAGACCTCAGTTTGAAAAGCAAGCTGGAATAGCTCAAATCGGGATGTAAAGAATCTGATAGCAAATCTTTAAGACGCAACTGCGTTATCAGGACATCATCCCAGCACCCTCTGATGAACTGCTTGAGAAGCAAAGTGTCAGAATGTTTGCCAACCACTCCCTTCTTTTCAACCACCTCCTGCATCAAGGAATGAAGACGCCTCAAATAATCAGAGGGCTTTTCACCTCGGTTTTGGTGCGTCTCGATAAACTGAATGTACAGATCATCTCCCCCTGTGACACTACCATAAGCTTTATCTAGCTCCCGTGCGTACGTTTCTGGTGGCGCATTTGTACCTACTCCTAGAGCAACATTAAGAGCAGGGGGAAGGAGACTATCCAAAATGTGCCTTCTCTTATGACTCTCCATCAGAGAAGTGTCAGAAAGTAGCTGCCTAGCGTACAATTGCCACGTGGCGAAATCAACTTCCCCACTAGGCTTGGGGCAATGTCCGGAAAACATTCTTAATTTAGGGGGTAAGGGAACATGTCCCTGGTAATCAGAGTCATGTTTCACCACATGTTCCACCACTACCCGCTGTACGTCCTGTGGTATAGTGAAAGTGATAGGAGTTTTGTGTGTTGTGTTTCTACCCACAGGAGGTGAATCGGTTCGAATTGCAAAAGACACTTTTGATGCCGAATTGGCGGCTACAGTAGGCGTTGCTGCTGGCATTGCATTACCAAACTTTCTTGGAGCAGGGGTTGAAGTGGAGGGGCCCCTATCAACACCATCAGCTATGTGTGCAAGCTTAGTCACAACCTGCTGGCTTAGTTCATTTACATCTACACAGTGAAGTTGTGCCAAACTCTCTATTTGCACCAATAGCTGATCAGCCATATCATCCAAGGTTTGACCCGAGTATTTACTCTGTATTGGTGTTGGGGAACTAGGGTGAGGTTGCATATCGTCGAGCTGCCTACCCTCTAGTGGCACAACACCCCATACATTTTGGCCATCTGCATTCAAATACTCTTCATCAGCTATTAACGGGGTAGTAACCTCCTGAAATTCGCAAAGAAGCTCTCCTGTGAATTTGTCACCTAACCACTCAACTTTCTTCACCTCATCAAGATGATCAAAACATCGCCTCACGTCCATAAGAGTAGTTTTTGGATCTACTTTTGTAAGGATTACAGACCGTTCAGGATCAAAATTATGCTGCTTGCAAAATTCCATTGTGAAAAAAAAATTATTCTGAAAATTAGGACTAAAACACGATTTTATCAAACAAGCGCAGCCCCACGTTGGGCGCCAAATTTTTCTCTCTCTATTCTTGGATGTAACCCATTAGTGGGATTCAACACCGCAAAAAGAAAAGGAGGAAAAATATCTACTTGGGTCTGAGCTCACCAAATACCTATAATTCACAGTTTATAATGGTATCTGGAGTCCCGGGTTCGGGGTCTCACACCTTGCAATAAAAAAAATTAAATGTGTGTCTGCACTTGTTTAAATTAATGTCTGTAGTGCTAACTAGAAAAGAAAATAAATGAAAATGATATTAAATAAACCAATGAATAAACTTCAATATAAAATAGAATGAATTAATAAATGATAATGAAAGGAATTAACAGATAGGTCAATCAGATCACTGAACAGTAACTGTTTACTTGAATGTCATTGCGCACGAATCGCTTTTCACACATCACATTAGAATCCCATTTGACAAATCACCATTTCGAAAAAAAAAAAAAAAAAAAACAATGACCATCAAAGGACACTAAAATATATAAAAGAAAAATAAAATAAAAAAATAAAGAAAAATCAGTTCGTGTTCACAGCAGTATAAGTGCCATGCAAATGACTAAGTTCAGTTTCATTGGAATGTGACTCAGTTCAATTTGTTCGTAAAGTGACTCGGTTCAATTTGTTCGAAATGTGACTCAGTTCATTGAGAAGATGGAGATGACTCAGTTCGCGTGAAAGTGAAAATGACTCAGTTCGCGTGAAAGTGAAAATGACTCAGTTGGGTTTGTTTGTTTGCGTAAATGCCTACTAAACTCCGTGCAGTGATGAAAGCCGAACGTGAAGAGTTTCTTGAGTGAAGAGTCCCTTGAGTGAAGAGTCCCTGATGACGCAATTCCTCCAGTGGAAATCCAGCGCGTTCTCCCTCACGGCGCAACTCAAACACGATCCCAGAGCGTTGAAACAATCCCAACTAATACAATGAAACAGTTCAGACATCGATTTAGAACAATATTAATGACGATGGATTTGATTAACGAGAGCTCACACATGTGGCTCACGCAGGGGCGTAATTTGCGGGTGGGACGGGTGGGACATGTCCCCACCACTTTTTGCCAAGGTCGATATTGTCCCCACCACTTTTTAAAAGTTCTCGCGGCACGAATAGCTAACAGTAGAAATAAATAAAACATCTCCAACTGGCAGACCAGTCATTTCGTTCGTTTGTAAAATAAAAGAAGCGATCTAGCCCTGAAATACGTTGTTTTTTAAATCAAGTGATCAAAGTGCTCCTTGCCGCCTGCGATCGGTGGCGCGGTTACAGTGTATCTTGTGGCTCACGCACAGTCTTCACATGCGCGCTTCAATCCGTTTCGGAGCATGTGAGCGGAGTGGAGCGGGGAGCTCGAGCGGGTGGATCTTGGACAGAGCGCAGAGAGGGGCATTTTTTAAAGGACGGAGAGTCGCCCTATTTCCCGCTCCAATTTCGCTCCGCTCACACCACGACTCGAGTCTGACTCAACGTCTTTTCCCCGCCTAGCTCGCATTGTGTTCAGCATCCCAAGCGGGTCTGCAAGGGCAGAGAGGGTTTTCTCCGCAACAACCGCATGAGTCTGAAGCCTCAGACATTGTCCAAACTTGTGTTCTTGAAGGTGAACTTTTTCTTTCTTTCTCTTTCTTTCTTTCTTTCTTTCTTTCTTTCTTTCTTTCTTTCTTTCTTTCTTTCTTTCTTTCTTTCTTTCTTTCCTAAAAGTTTGACAATGTATCCCATTTAAATTGTAATGTGCACTCTGCGCAAAAGTTCAGTTATACGAATTTTGGCCTAATAGTTCATTTAGCATACTTTTAAAACGTTTATGTAGCCTAAAGTAGGCCTATATCCTGTATATTTTTATTTATAATAAAGCCCATTGATTAGTTTAATTTTACAGCATTTTTTTGTACAATTGATAAGCATAATTTTATTAGGCTATTTCTGCGCGCTGTGCAAACGTTTAGTTATCAAAATGTTGGCCTAATAGTTAATTTACTTTGTAAATTTACTTTTAAAATGTTTAGGCCTTCATTTTTTACATTTTTGTTTATACACTTATTTTTTATCTTTATTTATATTATTAGGCCCATTTATTCGTTTAATTGTACAGCAGTTTGTGTGTACAATGGATAGGCTATAAGCCAATTTAAATTTTAATCGTGCGCGTTCCGCAAAAAATCATCAAAATTCTGGCCTAATAGCCTAGTTAATTTACTTTTATGTATATTTTTGTTTATATAATTTTTATTCATATTATTAGGTCACTTTATTCGTTTAATTTTGACTTTCTGTAGGCCTATAGCATAGGCTATTCCACTGGACATGTTGTAAAGTCGGGTCTATGTTTTATTCACGTGTCACGTGATTCATTCATTTATACACATGTCCCACCCACTTTTTATAACAAAGTTACGCCACTGGGCTCACGTCTCTCTCTTCAATGATCTGGCGCGCATGTCACGTCAGCACCCATCGCAAAAATGCATTTAACATTCAATAATGTTTAAACTTACATTATTCCCTTTACATAAATGTGCAACCAGTTTTTAACAAGTATACTACTGCAGCATAAGTGCTTTACATGTTTTCTATTGCACACTATATACTCAATCACAAACACCATTAACCATCCACATTTTCTTATATGAACAAACACAAACTTGAACATTATACATGAAAATATGACCCAATTGTGACTTACCTAATACAATGAAACAGTTCAGACATCGATTTAGAACAATATTAATGACGATGGATTTGATTAACGAGAGCTCACACGTGGCTCACGTCTCTCTCTTCAATGATCTGGCGCGCATGTGACGTCAGCACCCATCGACGCAATGAATTATTTTCACCACTCCGCGAAAACAAAATAGTAATTAAAATAAAAATAAAAATAAAACATATGTCTGAACAGTTCATGCATTAGGCAAGGAAAAAAAATATGTATATAAACAAAATAAAACAAAAATACATGAAAATACATAGCAACACAGCCTCAATTAATTGGGTGGGTTACAGGTAGATGGAAAAAAACTAGAGCAAAGGAGGCTTTCTTTGAACTCTCCGCCTGCTCTTACACTGAAAAGATCTGCTAAGTTTTTCAGTATGTGTAGCAACAATAAGAAACCCATTAAATACCTTTTGGTAGATGATGTTTTTTTCTCACTGAAGGTTGGTCCATCATTTTTTGAATGGTCACTCTTCACAGATACAGAGCTGGACACGTGTGAGTCTAATATTTCACTAGTGACAAAATGAGGGAAAAAAGAAGGTTCCTCAGTAAAATATATGAATGCTTTATTAAAACCATTCATTAGTATTCTTCACTCGAATTAAAAGGAGACATTTAGTCATGAACAATGCATTTCATCACCAAGGCCAGGCAAGTTTATTGATATAGCACTTTTCATACACAATAGTAATTCAAAGTGCTTTACTGAATAAAAATAATTAAAACAGTTTAGACACACATCTCGTGACAGTTAGATGTGATGACCGATTTTACTTATTTAATAATAATGAATCAATGGATCGCCTGTAAGATGCTTGGAGAAACAGATGAAATACCTTTTGTTATATGGTGTTTTCTCACGGAAGGTTGGTCCATCATCTTTTGACTGGTCACTCGTCATAGACACAGAGGACAAATATGAGCCTGCTCTTACTCTAATAACAAAGAGACAAGAGAAGAAAAAGCACTTTACTAGGAGATACAGTACTTCAGTCTCATTTGAAAAAGGTTTAATATGGTAATTAGATGGGTAGATTGAAAAAAACTAGAGCAAAGGAGGCTTTCTTTGAACTCTCCGCCTGCTCTTACACTGAAAAGATCTGCTAAGTTTTTCAGTATATGTAGCAACAATAAGAAACCCATTAAATACCTTTTGGTAGATGATGTTTTTTTCTCACTGAAGGTTGGTCCATCATTTTTTGAATGGTCACTCTTCACAGACACAGAGCTGGACACGTGTGAGTCTAATATTTCACTAGTGACAAAATGGGGGAAAAAAGAAGGTTCCTCAGTAAAATATATGAATGCTTTATTAAAACCATTCATTAGTATTCTTCACTCGAATTAAAAGGAGACATTGAGTCATGAACAATGCATTTCATCACCAAGGCAAGTTTATTTATATAGCACTTTTCATACACAATGGTAATTCAAAGTGCAAACAGTTGGACGAACAAAGCCACAGTGCTCATTCATTCAATGCACAGCTGACATGATGTGTTTTGAGTCTGGATTTGAATGTGGTTACTGAATGAGCACATCTGATCTCTTCTAGAAGCTGGTTCCAGCTGCGGCTGGCATAACAATTAAAAGCAGACTCTCTCTGCAGTATAATGAGGTCATAGGCCATTGAGTGATTTATATACCAGTAATAATACTTCAAAATCAATCATATATGTAACTGCGAGCTAGTGTAAAGACCTGAGGACTGGTGTGATATGTTCATATTTTCTGGTTCTACATTCTCTATGAGCTGCAACTGTCTTATGGTCTTTTTAGGAAGTCCAGTGAGGAGTCAGGATTACAGTAATCCACCCTGCTGGTGATGAAAGCATGCACAAGTCTTGACTGGAAACAAAGCATCTAATTCTTGCAATATTTTTTTAAATGATAGTATGCTTTAGTTATTGCTTTGACATGACCACTGAAACTAAGGCCTGACTCTAGAGACACACCAAGATTAGACTTGATTTTTAGTTGTTTAACCGCGGACGAATTCTGTTTTTTTATTTATTTTTTGAGCGGCTGCTGGCGAATTCTTTTTACTCGCACACAAACAATTTGACATCACACTTTCGTACGTTTATAAAAAATATAATTTAACGTAAATAAACATCCTAACACTTTTTAAATAGCCCACTTAAAGTGTTTATTACATATAAAATGATCAAATTTACCAAAAAATACTAAAAATTAATTTATTACACATTAAATGCTTAAAATTAATAAAAGTAAATGAACACAATTTTTCATTATGTTTAAACTTAAGAACGCCCCTCTTTCAAAAATATTGCACAATACTTTATGCTGATGATGTATTGCCTGCAGGTCAGATAATCCTACAAAAGTCTCACCTAACCTACATTTCTTTCCCTCATCCCCCCCACTCCGACTTCCTGATGCGAAAACAAAACGTTTTCAACAAAAACGTACCCAAGAATCTAAATGGTTTAATGTGAATGGTTATCATCGAGTTGAATATGTGTAATTTAATTCGAAATGTGACCGGTATAAATGTCTCATTTCCAAATAAGTAAACCAAAAGGTAATAAGTGTTTTAAAAGTTTAGAGATAACATACACACAAAGGAGGGTGGGATGGTTAAACCGTCCTGTTCTCAAAAGATGTAACCTCTGGATGCAAATGACCATTGTTAGCACATGTTTCCATGCAAAAGAAGTTCCTGTCTATATAATAAGATGTAGGTAGGGGCTCAGGGCCTTTCTGTATCTCAGATCAGCCTGTGAATGCTGAGAGCCACCAGGAGTCATTTCATTCATGTTATGTATTTATTATCTTTGAACTGATCTTACATTTACCTGACATAATAAATTAACTTTCTGTCAGGACCACCAGCGTCAAATGTGATTGACAATTAGCATACAGTTAGGATTGAAGTAGGGTAAACAGAACAGAACCAACATGAATGTTTTGCAAATATCATTCATTCAAGATTTTAAAGAACAACATAATTCGAGGATTTATTTTGATTCAAAGGGCAATCAATCCTGACTGGACGAGAGGAGGAGCTGGGAGGATAATTCGATCCTGATAAATGCGATAGCTGCTAATAATATTGAAGGAGCTTAAATATATACAGTGATAGCCGTCGTATTATAAGTAGACGTGGATCAGCTGAGAGTCAGCTGATGCGAGTTGACTAACGTGACCTGCCAGAACTGCTCTTGAACACAAAAGAAGACTTTGAAGAGTGTCGGAAACCAAACAGTTGATGGTAGCCATTGACTTCCATAGTATTTCTTTTTTTTCCTATGGAAGTCAAAGGCCACTGTCCACTCTCTGGTTACCAACATTCTTCGAAAAATATGTTGTTCTTTTGTGTTCAACACAAGAACGAAACTCACAGGTTGTGGGTGAATAAATGATGACAGAAATAAAACTTTTGGGTGAACTATACCTTTAATGATGGAGCTGGATTGTACATTAGCTTATTATGATTTCAGTAAAAAATATATTGTAATAAATTGTATACTCAAAGTTTATGATTGTTGATTAATGATGACTGTTTGAGAAATAGAACTAAAACGTTATGACAAATACTCTGCCTTACCGTAACAGTGTTACAATTTTAACACTTCATTTGGTCTGAAAACAGACACTGTCTTACCTCGGTTTCTCCGAGAGATTCATCTTAGAGAGAGAGAGAGAGAGAGAGAGTGATTTCCTCGCTCCTCTGACACTGCAGCTAAACCGCCATTGAAAACAGATCAGCACTGGGATCGATATGTGTTGAAGACATTCAGCAGCTCATCATGACCTGGACATGACCTAAATATTATGAGAGGAATAATTATGAGTTTTGTGATACTAAACAATCTGCATAAAAATAAAGAAATAAAATAAAATAAAAACATGGGTGTAACCAAATGTTTAGGTGCATTTCAAATAATAAATAACAAAATAAAAACATAACAAGGAGAAACACATTTTTCAACACTGGATCAATATTGTGCAGTTTTATATGGATTTACCCTCATATTTACCCATCCACCAACAACGAACCATATCTTTTCATTTGATTTCACATCACTTGATCACGTGCAGAGGCGTAGCAAGCTTTTGAAAAGTGTGGGGGATGGATGTGTCAATTTAAATTTGGGCATGTTACGTAGACCCCTGTCCCTCTAGGGGGGTTCGGGGGCATGCTCCCCCGCAAGAAAATTTGGTACATTTTAAGGTTAAATGCATCAATTTGGAGCACATTGAGAGCTCAAAATTAAGAGCTTCAACTGGATTCGACCCAGGCCTGTGCACATTGAACAACGAAAAAGCATTGACTTGTTGCTTACCTAAAAGAGGGCTCAAACATCTTTATAGTTATGATATGAAGAGTTCAGATGCAAAAGCCTCTAAATGCCATTTGAAATTTTCTTCTAGAATGATAATTTTTATCAAACTTGTATATTTGAGTTCAGTAATTTCACTTAAATAACAATTAATAGGTAATTATCATTGCCATTTAAGTGAAATCACTGAACTTAAATATACAAGCTTGATAAAAATTATCATTCTAGAAGAAAATTTCAAATGGCATTTAGAGGCTTTTGCATCTGAACTCTTCATATAGAGTCTGTCATCATATTCTATATTTACGCTATCAAAATTACAATACTTTTGTCCTAATTTCTTCACTTGTAAGAAATAAACCCTTGAGCTTTTATTTAGGAGAAAACACAGAACACCATGCTGATCATGTGAGCAAAGAGCGCGTTTTTTTTTTTTTTTTCAAATCACGCAGCATTACAAACAGAATGCCTATAACGCAAGTCTTGTACTGTTTATCCAAAAATACGAAATATAATAATGAAAACACTGGACATGTCAATAAAACATAAACATAACATCTTCCCAAACACATATCAAGCTTATTTAAAAACCTCGAAAGCATAAACACTCATTCAAAGCAGCCGCGGCGCTACCATTGGGCCTGGGTGGGCCTGGGCCCACCCATTTTAGGTCCGGGCCCGCCCATTTTGAGCCAGGCGGGTAACTCCTATTACCGTCTGCAGAGACCTCGCAGGCGTACGGATTTTCATTCTCAGTTCATCCAATAAGCAGCCAGAGGAAAACTTTGAGTGAAAGCTTCTAAACCAATCAGCAGCTTCTACCTCACGTGTGGACTCTTAAGCCTGCCCACAGGCTGCATCGTCACCAGCAAGTGATCCAATGAAATGAATGACGTTGGCGCGCAAGATTTTCAATGAGACAGAAACAGTCGGTAGCTATTAGCTAAAATGAAGCGTAATATGGAAAAGCAAAGCAGCTTGTTTTCATTTAAATTTAGCAATAAAAAAATAAAAAACGCTCCGAGGAGCAGGAGGAGGAAACTCCTGCCATTTTTAGTAACGCGGTTACTTCAATGAAGAGTTACCATCCTGCTCGGCCGCCCTCTCTGCATCAAGTCCTCCCGTTATAATTTTTTGCTCATGTGAATGTGACACTGTGACAGATCGGATGTGTTTGTGACCATGTAAACAGGAAAAAAAACACATTCATATGTGGAAATAAATTGGAAATGAATCAGATGTCAATGCATTTAGACCACTTCTCCGCGGTTTAATGACGAGAGCCGACGCGCATCTGCAAAGGGATGGATTGCCCGACAAAACGCCGTAGAGAAAACGTGAATGTTTTTGGACAAACGTTGACGCATATCAACATATCAAAAAGGTTGGCTTGCTCTTCCTAAAATTTCGGACCCACTGCTCCTCGTTAAAGCCTATATTTAAACACAATATGCTTCCACCAGTCCTGAGATTTCTCTCGCACACAATAACTGAAGCGCATGCGGCCATGCGCAGGCAGCAATGATGGCACTTTTCGTCGTCCTCCTCCTCAAAATCATGGTAATGTTTGGAGAACTTCGCATAAATTGCAGATTTAGCATCAAGCATGTTTCACGTTCGTCCATCTGTAAAAAAGAGAATTTAACCCTTTAAGCTAGGGTGACCAAACGTCCTGTTTTCCCAGGACACGTCCTGTTTTCACGTCTTGTCGTGGCTGTTTTTTATAAAGTGATGAAAATGTCCTGGTTTTAATTATTTTTCATTGGGCCATTTAAAAAGAAAAACATGAAAAAGAGGAAGAAGAAACCTAAATATATAAACAACTTTTGTTAGTTAGGTTTTTGTTAAGTTTGTGGGAGCTATTTTGGTTCAATTTGGAGGTAGGCTATTTTTTATTTATTTATTTATTTCTAATACAGAAGAGACATTATTTCTATCATTATTTTTTGAAACCTGTCATAATAAAACATGTTGAGTAGAGTATAACCTCTGAGAAGCCTATCTGAATTTGGTCTTTGGTTATAGATAGTATTTTGTAATGTAACCATTTATATCCGGAGGCATACCCTATTAAATTATTGAAATTAAGGCATCTTTGAGTAAACTTCGAGTATCATTTGAGTATCTCATTGCCGGGCCGATTGTCCTGGTTTTTGATAATCAAAATATGGTCACCCTTTAAGCAAGCGCGATGTTTTTAGATATGGCTATATGGCAAGTGTAAACACATGACTCGGATAAAGTTGAAAGAACGTGTAAACGGACGGTAAAAAAAAAAAAAAATCGGAGAAATGTAACAAATTAGAATTGGGCATCAAGACCTGCAGAGTAATCGAGGCCTTTTTTTCAGAATAATAACAATTTGACTTTTTTATTTAATCTAATTATAGGCATATAATTTTTACCACTCTCCACGCCTCCCATGGCATGCTCTGGCTCCCCACTTTGGTTAGATATGTTGTTCATTTAATTATTTCATGTTGGTACAGTTCTTCTATCATTCTGAATAAATAAAAAAAAACAGTTAAATAATTTTGTATCGTTTTCCTGCTGTTTTTGTTTAGCAGCTGTGTCAGATTCAGTGCTGCTGTTATTTCATGTCGATAAAGTTCTTCTGTCATTCTAACTTTATAAGAAAGAGTTAAATAATTTTGGAAAGTTCCCTGCCCGTAACTGGAGAGAGAAACAGAGACCCTCCAAAGATATAATTCCGTTTCAGTCTTTTTGTGTATTAAACATTCAAAAGAGATAAATCAAGTTATAGGCTTACTGAGTCGCTGTCCACAGTGCCGCAGAAAAGCGCTGAAACGGATATGAAGGGGATTTTTTTTTTTGCCTTACGGACGGGCCCATCCAGTTTTCTGAAGGCCCACCTACAATCAAAATCCTGGCGCCGCTAGTGATTCAAAGTACCTGGAAAAGGGAGGGAGATGTAAACAACCATAAGTTCCCGCCTCCTCAGCACGAGCTGACCGATACATCTAACACATCAAGAGAGGCGGGACTTAAGGCAGAACAGCCAATCATCAGCCGGACACACTCAAAGCCGGTGTCATGTTTGAGAGGAGACAGCCGCAGCGAGCGCGCGCGCACACACACACACACACACACACTGAGCGCCAGAGAAACGGAGGAGCGACTGTAGGAAGGCTTTTTTGTGTAAAACTGCGGAAAAACGGCAGAAAAAGTGCGGGTGTTGAACACTCTCACCGAGAAAAGTGTGGGTGTTAAAACACCCACATCCCCCACGGTTGCGACGCCCCTGATCACGTGCTCAGAATTTATTGTAGGCAATTAATTTCAAGTATACTCCCACATGTTACAAGTTTTGTGCTATGTGAACGGAAATTATAATTATAGCTGGCGTTTGTTACATTTGACAAACAAAAACACATTTAAGCATCGATCACCACGTGCTATGACGTCTGATTTCCCGTTAGATGCTTTTGATTTTGCATCACCACAAAATAACAGCCAAAAATAAAAGGAAGGATAAAATGCCTCGTAGTACTGTAATGAAAAAGCACCTGTTCTTTAACGTAAATATCAATCACTGTAACTGAGGACGTTTAAAAAACCAAGGCTGCAGTTGCACCGCGTCGGTCTGGAGCATCAAAAACTTTCTCTAAATACCCGCCCGGCTATAAATGTGGCCGTAGGCTATTGCTGTGAATAGCTACTTCCGTGTGCTGCTGTAGTTATCATTTTCCGTGATCTTGTCATACTCTTTGAGTAACAACAATTTTAAAACGGGTATCTACAAGTTGTGACACCTGGCAGATCCCCAATGTTTATACACACCATCAGCCAAAAAAACCTTCATCACTACACTTTTTTAGTTGTAACTGAGATCTGTCGTCAAATGCGATTGACAATTAGCATAGTTTGGACTGACGTTGACGGTACTGATTTGGGCAAGAACATGCGCATTCATGCATGGATAAGAGCAGCAAAAATAGGGTAAACAGAACAGAACCAACACGAATGTTTCGCAGATGTCATTAGGATTTTAAAGAACAACATAATTCGAGGGTTTATTCTGATTCAAGGGACATTTTTAATATAGGTTATTGTGCAACGTGAACCCAAATCTTCTATTTGTTGCTGACATGCTAGCTACATTTGATATGACACGAAGTATCAAACACCACGCGCCTGAGGTCTGGCTTCCTGATTGCTTTACATTTTGATTTCATCATAAATAACAGCCAAAAATAAAAGGAAGGAATTTAAAAAATGCCATATTAAATACTTATTGAAAAGCCATATTAGGCCTGCCTGTTTTTAATGTAATTATCAATTGAGAAAGTTTTTAATAAATAAATAAATAAACTTACTTGCAGCACGTTGATCTGGACCATCAGAGACGATTTGCAAAATGGTTTCTCTTTCACACGTTTACTTTTAGTCACATGATTACACCCATAAGTGACTTTTGCCATTTCCAACACATGTCCTGTTATACATTTACGAGTTTTAAAGCCTAGATTTGTTCATGGTAAAGACGGTAACACTTTACAATAAGGTTCATTAGTTAACATTAGTAAATGCATTAACTAACAATGAGCAATGCATTAGTTACAGTGTTTATTAATCTTTGTTAATGTTAGTTCATATAAATAGCTGTTCATTGTATGTTCATGTTAGTTCACAGTGCATTAACTAATGTTAACTAATACAACCTTTGATTTTTAATAATGTATTAGTAAATGTTGGAATTAATATTAACTAAGATTAATAAATGCTAAAGAAGTATTGTTCATTCTTAGAACATGTTAACTAATGTAGTTAACTAATGTTAACTAATGAACCTCATTGTAAAGTGTTACTGTAAAGACTGGTCTTTCTAACATCATCATATGTGTCTTGAATTTTCAGTCAGCCTTGAATTAATTTGTGTTAATCAGATCTTTATCATGTGCAAATCACGATGTCAGCAAACCAATTGTGAGATGTAGCTACAAGGACAGAATATTCCCTCACATAGCCTATATGCCTCAAATTGGTTTAATGCCAATTTAAACTCATTTTTAATTTTTATTAGGCCTACTTGATGTTGAATATTCTCCGTTTGTCTAAAACACTTTCAGTTTCATTTAAACAAACATAAAATGAGTCTAGCCCACTGACATACACTTAGTATAGACACTTTGTGAATAACACACAGGCAGTTGTTAAAAAAACTGTTTCTGTATTTATTCAAAACGGCACTAAAGGACCGGTTGATAAATCAGACGCACTGATTTAAGGGTGAAATTCAACCGTTATTTTATTTAGTTGCCTTATAATTAGGCAGTGGTGGAGGAAGTACTGAATCTCAGTACTTAAGTAAAAGTACAAATACCCAGATAAATATTTACTTTAGTAAAAGTAGAAGTAACACAATGACAACCATACTTAAGTAAAAAGTAAAAAGTACTTTATTTTAAATGTACTTTAAGTATTAAAAGTAAAAGTACTTGCATAACAATTTATTATCTTAATGTCTATTTTCTAATGATTAATAAAACATTTAATTCTAACTCATTCAACCTAATAGCCTACTCCTATAATGATGTTCAATAATGATGGAAAAAAAATGTCACTATTTCTGAAACAAGCTTGCAATTAGGCAATATCATGCTTATCCTTAGTACTATATGTTAATAACTATGTTTGGCAGTAAACGCGATTCATTTATGGTGTAATTCTGAACCTCTTGGCTTGCCATAATCCAAACCAAACATATATTACACACGGTGTGTTTCCTATGCACGTAAAAACAAATTTTCGCGTATGAGTTGCAGTGTTGTGCAAGTTACTTCCAAACTGTAATACATTAGGTATTACTTGTTACTGTTATTTAAAAGTAATTCATTACCTTACAATATTACTGTCTCAGAATTGTAATGCGGTACATTACTCATGTATTACTTTTTAGTTACTTTCACCAAAATAACTAAGTAGAACTTAACTTTGGGGCTGTAACGATATGCAATATGAAACCGAAATCGCGATTCGCCACACGACTCAGATCCACGAACAGAATCACGACACACCTCTTCCAACTCCAGCGTTATTCTCCTTACCGTCCAGATCCAATGCTGCCTTATCTTTAAATTAGGCTATTAGTATTATTTGAAGTTAACATTATAAAATACGTAGACCTACACCACAAAATTACCACAATAAATTATTTAAAATTGGGGAAGTCCAGCATTATGGACATGACATTTGCAGTTAAAACATGAAATAAAAATTCTCAGAAAATACATGTATTGAAACGTAGGCTATATAGGCTACTTCCTCAAAGGACTCCAGACATTAGACAAATATCAGTCTATGTTTTATTTTCAATATTAGGGAAAAGACACACATTCATGCGTGACAAAAACATAGGAGGCAAAATCGATTTTTTGTAATTCTGTTAATTACACTGCGCAAATCGGATGAGGAAGGGTTGGCTCTCCAGTCTCCATAGAACTTAAAATATTCATTTTATTTTAGTTTTCGTGTTCGCATTTCTGAGGAAAAAACAGACGCGACCGCTCTGAACTGGCACTAAAAGACTGCTTTAAAACTTTCACATAGTCTGTTGCCTTTAAGAAGTAAAAGCAGACAATACACTGTAATACAACTGTAATACAAGCCTCACTGAACATGTCACGAGTAAAATATTACTGAAAATTGATTAGTAATGCCTTACACTACTGCGTTACAGCAAAAAGTAATATGTTACTGTAATGTATTACTTTTGTAATGCGTTACTCCCAACACTGATGAGTTGCATGATAAACACACTGCGTGTGAGACGCATTTAGTGTGACCGGGTTGATATACTGTATCTATGGCAACCAAACGTCACTGGTGAGACAAACGTGCAACGAACGGACGGTCAGATTACGTTTTGTCAGGGGAAAAACTGATCAGAAAATGTAACGAAAATGTAACAGAAGTTGTAGAAATGTAGTAGAGTAGAAAGTATAATAATTGCTGCAAAATGTAACGAAGTAAAAGTAAAAAGTATGCACTATTTATTGTACTTAAGTAAAGTAAAGATACGTGAAAAATGTACTTAAGTAAAGTAACGAAGTATTTGTACTTCGTTACATTCCACCACTGTAATTAGGCCTACATAATCTCTGTAAAGTAACAGCGCAGTCAGCACATTTCATTTGGCATAGATTTGGCCAAACTAAATGCAATCATTAAAATTTATTCGATAATTTAACAAATTAGGCTACTAGTTTTATAATAGGCCCACAAAAAAGCAAGAGAAATGGTAGATTTTGGCATTAAATTATATACAGATGCAATTAAAATGCCACATAAGCATACAATATAAAATTTACTATCTATACCAATCAGTCACGTATTAACGAATAAGGTAAATCAGCTGTTCTCCCGCATAGACGGTTACAAAGTAGTCACTGAGGTGTTTCTGAAATGAATTCAGGTTCTAGTAAAGTGTAGGTGAATCTTGTAATATGGCTCTGGAAAAACAATGTAGGCTACAGTTGAAGATTATAAAATTCAGTCACTACATATAACTGCAACAGAATTTCAACACGCACAAAAATGAGGACATGGACATGACGATTTAGCATAATAGCGATCACAAAAATTCAGAAAATTAAAAAATGTTTATATTAATCAGGTTGTAACGGTTAGCAGCTGGAGTGCCCTCTTGAGCCACCAGAGGGCACTCCAGATAAGACTATGTTTCACACAAACTACATTTCCCAGAACTCACTGCCCGGACTCATCATCACTGATCACATTCACCTGTACCTCATTCACTGATTGCATTCACCTGTGTCTCATCCTGTTAGTGTGTCTATATATACCTTGTGTTCACGTTCAGTGTTGGAGAAGTCTTGTTGTACTGTTTAAGTGTTACACTGCATTTCTGAGCGTTTTCCGTGTTTGGTTTCTGGTTTTTGACTTTGGATTGTCTTTTGGATTTTGATTATTGCTGCCTGCCCTGACCTCTGCCTGTTTCCCGGATTCCCACTGTGTATCCTCCATTGTCCTGCCTGCTGATTCTCGACCCTGCCTGTACGACTATTCTTATATTAAAGCTGCATTTGGATCTTTATCTACAAGCCTCAGAGCAGTTCGTAACAGAAGACTTCGCCACACCGAGATCCAGCAACAACCGACCAACAAATGAATCCAGCAGCACAAATCCGGGAGTTTGCTGGTCAGATCGCGGCCTTGGCCCTGGATAGCCGTGATCTGTTCCAGTATACCTGGGGGTTTGTTCCTCTCGCTGCCTCCTGCTCTCTCGGTGATGAGGCTATTAAACTGTGTTACCAGCTAGGGGCTAAGGAGGTCAACCCGAGGGAGCTCCCCAATCTCTCGGGTCTGAACTGGAGAGAGGCGGTCTCCGTTTGTGAAGAGAGTTTCATTCCAAAGCCTCATCACGTCTCAGCAGAGCTTCCACAGCCCGCGCTCACAGTCAGCCCTGCCGAGCCCGCGCTCACAGTCAGCCCTGCCGAGCCCGCGCTCACCGTCAGCCCTGCCGAGCCCCGCTCACCGTCAGCCCTGCCGAGCCCGCGCTCACAGTCAGCCCTGCCGAGCCCGCGCTCACAGTCAGCCCTGCCGAGCCCCCGCTCACCGTCAGCCCTGCCGAGCCCGCGCTCACCGTCAGCCCTGCCGAGCCCGCGCTCACCGTCAGCCCTGCCGAGCCCCCGCTCACCTTCCAGCCAGAGACCGTACTGCCAGAGACCGTCAAACCAGAGTCTCGTCCCGCCGAGACCGTCAAACCAGAGTCTCGTCCCGCCGAAACAGCCCAGCCAGAGTCTCGTCCCGCCGAGACAGCCCAGCCAGAGTCTCGTCCCGCCGAGACAGCCCAGCCAGAGTCTCGTCCCGCCGAGACAGCCCAGCCAGAGTCTCGTCCCGCCGAGAAAGCCCAGCCAGAGTTCCATGTCAGCCCTGCCGAGTCTGAGCCTGTTCACGTCACTTCTGCCGAGACAGAGACGCTTCACGTCACTTCTGCCGAGCCAGTGTCTATGGACAAGATGGCCGACTCAGAGACTCTTCAATGTACTTCTGCAAATTCAGAGATTGTTCACGTCACTTCTGCCGAGCCAGAGACGCTCCACGTCACTTCTGCCGAGCCAGAGACGCTCCACGTCACTTCTGCCGAGCCAGAGACGCTCCACGTCACTTCTGCCGAGCCAGAGACGCTCCACGTCACTTCTGCCGAGCCAGAGACGCTCCACGTCACTTCTGCCGAGCCAGAGACGCTCCACGTCACTTCTGCCAAGCCAGTGTCTAAAGACAAGATGGCCGCCTCCAAGCCAGTGTCTACGGACAAGATGGCCGCCTCCAAGCCAGTGTCTACGGACAAGATGGCCGCCTCCATGCCAGTGTCTCCGGACA